GGCAGGAGGATCATTGCAAATTCGAGACCAGCTTGGGCTACAAAGTGAGCTCAAGGCCAGCCTGAACTGCATAGCAAGACCTTGTCTCAAAAAGACAAAGAAAAGAAAAATAATAATAATAATAAAATAAAAAAATAAAATAAAACTGGAAAATTTCAACTCTAAAGAACAAAAAGGGGGTGCTGGGGATTTAGCTCAGCGGTGCAGTGCCTACCTGACAAGCGCAAGGTCATGAGTTCGATTTCCGGTACCAGAAAAACAACAAACCAAGAACAAAACGGAAGTACGACAAGCTTTGGGGAACCTATTTACGTGTATGTATACATGTATGCGTTACTTTTAGTTAGAAAAGGATCCACAAAGTTTAAGCTTGTACCTCAGCGACACATTTAGGACACCTCCAGTCTCCTTTGGGAACATCAGGTAGTGGTGGAATTAGACAAAATGTATGATAGCTGTCATCACATCCATCACACAAAAGCAATTTATCTTCATTGTTTCCTCGACCACAAAACATACACACATAGAGATCCACCTGTTAAACAAATAATGAAAGTCTAGTTTCTATAATAGAGAATATTACGTTACCAGGATTTCTTTAAAACAGACAACATGATATACAGCAAAACATAAATTCACTTAAATCCTAAATATCTACTTTAATTGATACTTTAACACTTTTTAATAGAACTCCCTAAATTTCTCTCCAGAGCATCTACCACCAAATTAATAAAAGCATATCAAATCGTTAAAGAAACACTACAAATGCAGGGTATATAAAAATTAATTTGTATTTTTTAAATGCCGTTCTTTCTAGATATAAGTACCTTTGGTAAAGAATGAATACTGATAACTGCTTATAATAATTTACAAATATCCATGGGTATTTGCCAGAATTGGCTCATAGATTCTCCCTACCCACACCCATATCCACACCCATACCCACACCCACACCCAGCTTTATGGATACCAAAGTCCACTGATTTTCAAGTAAGGATATGCAATGGCATAATATTTGGTTATAATAGTATATGCACAGCCTCTAATATATAAGCTATCGCTAGATTACTTATAATACCTAGTATAATGTAAATGCTATGTAAATAGATGTTATACTATATTGCTCACGACAAGAATAAAAGTCTGTACTTGTTCAATACAGACACATTTTTAAAAAATATTTCAATCTACACTCGGTTAAACTCTCAGATGTACAACCTGAGGATACAGAGGGTCAACTGTATACAGAGTCACACTCACTCTCACTTCATCACCCAAAGGCATATGACTTAGGGGGAACAGTCTATACACGACACAAAGCAAGGTTAACATTACAAAAACCAAAGCCGTAACTTCAGGTTTGCCATCAAGTCTTCTAACCAAATACGCTGATGAAACAACATACAAGAACATACCAAGGTAAAACTGTGCAAACCAAAATTAAAATAAATCCTTTCCCTCCTAACATATCCCAAAGCACTTACAAAGTTAACAGAGAGAGTTCCTTTCCGTTGTCTCATTTGCATGTTAAATGCGTCTGACCTGTTGGTAACTTTTCGTCTTCGGGTGACCTCATCTTGAAATAAAAAGTTATATAATAATAGTAAAAACTAATGTTGAGCGCTTACTATGGACCAGACACTATTTAAAATTATTTAAATTAGTTAAAAATCTCACAACACTATAAGGTAGATATATTATCTGTGGTTAAAGATAAAGAACCTAATGTATAGAGAAGTTGGATAACTTGCTCAAAATTACAGAGCCAATCAGTGGCAGATTTGGGATTCTAATCCAGACAATGAAGCTTCAGACAGTTTAACCACTGATGCCATACTGTCTGTATGTAGTACTTACTACATCTACATAATGCCTGTATGTATGCTAAAATGAACCAGGGAATAATTTTTTAAGATCACTGCCAGCCAAAACAATAATTCAAGTTTTAAGATCACAGCCAGCCAATGCAAAAATTTCAAGAATGACAAAGTTCTGAATTCTTAACAAGGTAATTAAAAACATTATAATGTATTTAGTAAATCCTATTAAACAAAATGCTCTGAGAGTGATGGAACAATATTATCTGATCTTTTATAGTTCAGTCTAAGATCTGAATTATGACTAAACTATCCATATCATAAAATGTGTAATTAATGTATGTGACTATAGTAGTTTAATAAATTCTTATAGTATAGTCAAAACATGCCAAACTTATTCTTTGTTAAAATGAGTGTCTTGTACGGGTCTTTTGTTGTTTTGTTTTGTTTTATTTTCCACTAGCACTAGGGATGAAACGCAGGGCCTCACACATGCTAGGGAAGCATTCTATCACAGAGCTACACCCCACCCTAAAATGACTTTTAAAACTGACCTGTTACATCGGGAAAATAAAACCTGTTTTTTGCATTAGCAACTCTCACAAAAATTTCAAACATAAGCTGAAGAGAACTAGGTTCACGGGGGAAAAAAAATTTATTTAAAAGAGTATTACAATGCCAGGCATGATGGCACACTCCTGTAATCCCATCACTCTGAGGCTGAGGAAGGAGGATGGCCACAAGTTCAAGGCCAGCCTGAACTGCACAGCAAGACCTTGTCCCAAAAAATGAAAATAAAAATAAAAATAAAAAATGGTATAACAACATATCGAGGGCAATTATTTTTTAAAAATATTGTGGTTAAAATTTAAATGTTCTAAGATCTTCCCAATATATTTTCATACTAACGGTTAAAGAATCCTCTATTCACCTTTTAATTTAAAAGTTATAAGCAATCATTAGATGAAAACCAATAATTTCACCATTACTAGCCTTTAGAAACTGCAATCAATTTCTGTATTGTATATCAGACATGGAGAAGGAAAATTCTCTCTTCTAAATCATAAAATTGAATATAATATTGCTCCTCATACTTTAAGATACATGCCATCAAAAGACAATTTGCATAAAAACCACTTTGCAAGTTTACAATTCTCAAGAAATTCCCAGCATGGACTAAAATTTAAGTATCACCTAATCTTTTTACAACTATATTATTACACTTTATTTCTCTTCATGACCAGTAACAGATTTTACCTTCTTTATCTTTTGTTCCAACTGTCAGGCCCACAACCTTGGGTCCAGCCCCAAAGATCTGAAGTTTCTTCAATTCTGTGTTTTTGTTCATTTCTCCAGATTCTGACTAAAAGATAACAAACAAAATCCACATTAGCATAATTATCTTGATTCATATATTAATTTTCTTTAAGAAATGAAGTCTTGCTATGCTGCCCAGGCTGGCCTCAAACGCTGGGGCCTAAATAATCTTGCTGCCTCTGTCTTCAGGGTAGCTGGGAATAAACATATACTAACATACACAGCTCGTGTATTATTTTATTACCCCCAAAGTTTTAAGAGCCTCTTCAAAATGAAGGAAGAGCTGGGCACGGTGAAGCACACCTGTAATCCCAGCACTCCGAAGGCTGAGGCCAGAGGATTACTGTGGGTTCGAGACCAGTCTGGACTACACAGTGAGTTCAGGCCCAGCCTAAACTGCATATAGAGACCCTGTCTCTAAAGGGAAAGGAAGGAAGGAAGGAAGGAAGGAAGGAAGGAAGGAAGGAAGGAAGGAAGGAAGGAATCTCTTAATCTTCATTTATAACAGTTTAAAATAGTCACCAAAGCACCATGCAATACCCAAATTCCTTTCCACAAAATACTTATCTTAAAAAAGTACAGATGTTGCTTTGGATCTGGCTAAAGACAGACACTACTGGTTATTAGGCAACAGAAATTCCTACTTCTAACTTGGTAATGGATACCTGTCTTTAATTAGAGGGTAATATACCCAATCTTAAATGATGAATCATGACTACCATAAGATCATAAGGCTGGTCTCATTTCTCTTTGCAGGTGATGACAGGTAGAATAGGAATGTGACCCAATTTTAGCCAGTAATCTGTAAAGTTTATTGGAAGACTTTGGAAAAATTTTTTAATCCTCTAATAAAAGGCAAAGACTAAGTGATTTTGCCCCAACTACTTCTTCCTGCTAGAAAACTCAGTGCTGGACTCTGGTATCCACAGTATAATTAGGAGAGAACTCACCCACACACTAAAGGAAGCAAGGCCACTAGCCCTTGTAGTCCACACTTGTAATGAAGGACTGCAAGGCTGAGCCCCACCTGGGCAATTTAGTAACTTAGTAAAACCTGGTCTCCAAATTTAAAAAAAAAGTGCTGGAGATGTAGTTAGGTGTACAGGCCCTGAGTTTGATTCCCAGTTAGGAGTAAAGGCCCTGAGTCTTTTTCCTCCCCAAAAAGAAGCAGAAATATGAGAAAAGGCCTGGTCCTTCATGATAATATGAGCATGCAATAGCAATTCTAGAACTACCTTCCCCTAAAAAAATTTGTTTTGAGGCAAGGCCTCTCTATGTAGTCCAGCCGCTCTTAACACAGCAATCCTCCTGACTCAACCCCCCAAGTGTTGAGATTACAGGCACGTACCACCACACCCAGCTAGAAATCTTATGTTGAAAATGTGTTCTTATGTGAATAATTTATCACTAAGGTTTAAGCTACTGTCATCTGGCATTCTATCCCTTGAAGGTGAGAGCATCCTAATTAGTACCAGTGTTAAAACTTAAATTCAGATGATTCATAATCTCTGAATGCAGACAAATCAAATAGCTGAAATTTATTTTAATTGCACAATTAAATTAAAACTTAAATTCAGATGATTCATAATCTCTGAATGCAGACAAATCAAATAGCTGAAATTTATTTTAATTGCACAATTAAGAATAAGAATAGAAATAAACCAGGATAAAATAAAGATTATCTTATACATATGTTATGGCCATATAACAAATCCATAAAACCCTAACTTAAAAAACAAACAAAAAAACTAAAATGGTATTCCAAAATTTGCCTCTAAACTCTTGTAGACAAAGTTATACTAATCAGCCTCTACAGCTAGTCAAATACTAAACAAACACTACACATTCTTTACCACTATTTTAGCAGAGTAGAAAAACAAAAGCAGAAACATATTAAGTATAAAGCATTGTCATATCTGAGTATTTAATCAATTAAATCTTAAAATCACTTTAGCAGATAGGAAATACTCTAAAAAGAAAAAACAGGTGCTGGAGATTTAGCTCAGCAGCACAGCGCCTGCCTGGCAAGGTCATGAGTTTGATTCCTGGTACCAGAAAATAAATAAATAGATAAATAAATAAATAAATAAATAGAAAACAAACAACATTCTCTGTTCTTAATGGATTAAAAGTAGAAATAAAATTAAAACCCCAAAATGCCTTTTCACCTGGAAATATTTAACTATTAACAGGTAACAATAATAAGGTAACTATCAGATCACTGGAACAAATTAAAGCAGTGATTACAAGGGAACTTTATAATCATAAGTACATCAATAAAAACAAAATAATAGAAATAAATTTCCAACTCAAAACACTAGGAAAAGAACTAAAACATAAACTTTGTGGTACTGGATTAGAAGTGGAATAATCTCTATGAACATAAAATATGAAATCAGAATTTTTTAAAAACTTATTTCCTAACTGTGACCATTTAAAGGTCCTAGAAGCAATGATATCTTAGTAGGAACAAACACACCTTGTGCTCAGGTCATGATTTCTAAATAGCATTTCCCACTAAAAAGAACCAGGAATCCTTGCAGAAATTACTTATTCTAAGTTTAAAGAAGGGAAGGCAAGAATACCAGCATTTTGGTGCTAGGAAATAAATATTCAATACTAGTAGAAATATGTAAACTCCAGAACACATGAACCACCTTGAAATGACTCCCATTAACCAAATTTGTAACAATTAAATTAAAAAAAAAAAAAAAAAAAGGCAGCAATGGATATACAACATTGCATTTTTTAAAATCATGATCTACAATTGGGCTGGGGATATAGCTCAGTGGCAAAAGCGCCTGCCTGGCAAACACAAGGTCGTGAGTTCGATCCCTGGTACCTCAAAAAAAAAAAAAAAAAAAACCATGATCTACAATGATAAAAAAGAAGTAAGGGAAGTCAATTATAGTTTCATAGGAATACACATTCACCAAAGTCCACACTTAGGATATGTGCATTTTAATCAGATGCAGTAGTATGTGCCTATAAACCAGCTACTCAGGAAGCGGAAGTAGGAAGATCACTTAAACCCAGGAATTCAGGGCCAGCCTAGGCAACACAGAGAAACTCCATTAAAACGGGTGATGGAGAAGGAGGGATAATATTCCTTTAAAAAACTGAAGAAGAGAAAATTTCGTTAGGAAAAATACCAACTAAATAAATGTAGAAGGAAAGACAAAACTAGAAAACCACACAGTTTGTAAACCCCACACAGTAACTAATTCAGTCAAGGATCATCAATGAATTTTAAAATCACTGGGTACAATATCACTAGAAAACAGGCTATTCACAATGTCTCAGAGTTTACTGATTAATTTTATTACAAAGTGACTAAGTACAATGTAGTAATCCAGCTTACCACCAACAGTGAAATATAGTGGTGTTATAAATTTCATTCTATACATAAACACAGCATTACAGGTTTCATTCTAATACATAAATATGTAAGAGTTTGGGATCTCTTGACACGAACAAGAGGCAATCCTAAATCTCAAGAAACTCAATACTTCAGTGAGGTCACACAGGAAAAAAATCATTTTAAGAGTACAGCAAGTGCCGGGCATGGTGGCACAAACCTGTAATCCCAGCACTCAGGAGGCTGAGGCAGGAGGATCGTCACGAGTTCAAGAGCAGCCTGGGCTACAAAGTGAGCTCAAGGCCAGACTGAACTGCATAGCAAGACCCTGCCTCAAAAAGACAAAAAAAAAAAAAAAAAAAAAAGTACAGTAAGTGATATGAAAGAGGTAAAAATATGGAAGCAGAAGCCAAGAATGGCAATGCACACCTATAAGGCCAGCACCCTAGGAGCCGGGAGCAGAAAGACTGCAAGTTCAAGTGTAACCTGGTAAACTTAGTGACTTAGCGAAAACCATCTTGGAATAAATTTTTTTTAAAAAAATGTTGAGAGCCAGGAATGGTGGCGCATCTGTAATCCTAGCATTCAGGAGGCTGAGGCAGGAGGGTCATTGTGAATCTGAAGCCAACCTAGGCTACACGGTGAGTTCAAGGCCAGCCTGAACTACATAATGAGACAACGAATGAATGAACAGAAGGTCTCAAAAAACCTGAATGAATGAATGAATGGGGATATAGCTCAGTGTAAAGGCCCTAGGCTCAATCTCCAGTGCCACACACAAAAAAAGAAAAGAAACAGGATAAATTCTACAATTTACATACTTTAGTTTTCTTAGTTGAGAGACCATGAGAAGGCTATGCTTATCATTACCATGACACGAGAAAAAGAGATTTACAGAAGGTGGTAATGACTCAATGTCTGAGACATGTTACATGGATCGTATCTGTGCTGTGGCCAACAAGGAGTACACACTCCCGACAAACCAAAAAGATGCACGGAGGTCAAGACAGACCTAGGTATTTGCTCAACAGCTGAAACCGCAGGGTAGATATGACAGCTGAGGAAGCCGGGCGTGGTGGCGCACGCCTGTAACCCCAGCACTCTGGAGGCTGAGGCAGGAGGATCGTTGCAAGTTCGAGACCAGCCTGGGCTACAAAGTGAGCTCAAGGCCAGCCTGAACTGCACAGCAAGACCCTGTCTCAAAAAGACAAAAAAAAAAAAAATAGCTAAGGAAGAGTGAAGAGAGAAAAAAAAAAAATCAATGTACAAATAAAGCAAAAGGAAAGAGGTAACAATGATGACTTAAGGAACAGTCAGAGAATGGAGGAAGCCAAAGAAAACTCTAGATAGCATTTTGGAGAAGAGTCAACAGCCATGCTAAATACACACATGATCAGAGATCACGTAAGATACAAGATGAAAAGAGGACCTCTGAATTTAGCAATTTAAATTCAACAATAACTTGGACAGTGAGTGCAGCTTCAATGAAAGTATTTAGCTCAGTCAAATTAGAATATAAAGACTAAACAGATACTAAGGAAACGGAAACAATACTGACTATTTCTCAAGTAAATCTGTGAAAAGAGGCAGAGTAAGGCATTATCCAGGAAACAATTTTTATTTTTAAGATGATAGAGACTTGAAAACATGTATTTGAAACCCTGTCTTGAAAACATGTATTTGGTGGGGAGCAGATACCCAGCAGACAGAGGAGATACAAAAGAAAGATGTCCCAACTGACATACTGAAATCAGTAGAAAAAGACAAAAGAGTGGCATGTGCCTATAATCCCAGCTACTTAGAAGGCTGAGGCAGGAGGATCATAAATTCAAGGCCAGTCTAGGCAAAGACCCTGTCTCTCAAAATAAAACATTAAAAGGACAGGGGATTGACGGGCATGGTAGGGCACATCTATAATTCCAGTATTTGGAAGGCTGAGGCAGGAGAAAAGCTTCGAGTTCGGGGCCATCCTGAACTATATACCAAGACCCTGTCTCAAAAAAGGAAATGTGATCATTACGCGTATCTAAAATATACCAATAAAATCTAATATAAAAAAAGCTCAAACTAATAAAATGGCTGTCTACTTTATCAGTTAAAAAAAAAAAGACTAGGGATGCAGTTCAGTAGTAGACTGTTCCCCTGGCTTCTATTCTCAGCACTATGGAAAAAAAAAAAATTGACAGAGCAAGTAAAAGAGAATGCCAGAAGAGAAGAAAATAGAGACATGAGCCCTGGAAAGAGAGGTGTACTTTGCCCATAGAGACAGAGACTATGGGTGAGTATCAGTAGTTTTGAAATTTTTTTACTTTCTCAAATAGAAGACTAAGAATAGAGGTAGACTTGGCGCACACCTATAATCTAAGCACTGAGGAGGCTGAAGCAGGAGGACTAATGTGAGTTCAAGGCCAGCCTGGGCTACAAAGTAAGTTCAACAACAGCCCGAACTGCACAGTGAGACCCTATCTCAAAAAGATAAAAAAAAAAAAAAAATAGAGGCAGACTGGCAATATAATAAAGTACAAATTCTACATAAAAAAATCTTGGGCCAGGGAGATAGCTCAGTGGCACAGCACCTGCTTGGCAAGTGCAAGGTCCTGAGTTCGATTTCCAGTACCACAAAAAAAATCTTAACTTCAAACCCTGAAATAGCTCTAGCTTCTACCTACCAGCAAACAGTCTAACTGTAGTGACAATTATTATAATATGTAAAAAATTCCATGTGGTCTCTATTTTTATAAATATGAAAAAAGCCAGCCAGGTGTGGTGGCACATGCCTGTAATTCCAGCACTTGGGAGGCTGAGCCAGGAGGACCATTGTGAGTTCAAGACCAGCCTAGGCTACAAAGTGAGCTCAAGGCCAGCCTGAACTGCATAGCAAGACCCTGTCTCAAAAAGACAAAAAAAAAAGCCAGGAGTGGTGGCGCGCATCTGTAACCTCAGCACTCAGGAGGCTGAGGCGGGAGGATTGCTTGAGTTTGAGGCCAACCCTGAATTATGAAGTGAGTTCAAGGCCTGGCTGAACTGTATAGCAAGACACTACCTCAAAAAAGAAAAGAATAGAAAGAAAATCAGGGCTGGGGTGTAGTTCAGCAACAGGGGCCTTGACTAGCATGCAAAAGTGCCTGGGTTTGATGCCAGTAACACAAAAATACATACACACACATGCATACATGTAAAAGACAAATAGAAGATGCTGTGGTTTCTATCTAGATGTCCTCCAAAGCCTCAAGTGCTCATAGGCGGGGTTTCTGGACGGTGACTTGATCATGGAGGCGTGATACGCATCAGTGGCCTAGTCCGCTTACAAGCTCAAAGCTAAATGATTTAGGAGGTGAAGTCTCGCTGGAGGGAGTTACTCACTGGGGGCATGGACTGGAAGGGTCTATCTCACTTCCCGTTTTTTGTTTTCCTTTTGTTTCTTGTTTGCGTGTTCTTAGGCATTTTTCTTTTGCCTTGTTGCCTTGCTTTGGACTTGCTTTTGGTTGGAACCTTTTGCATTTTTGGGGCCAAATTAACCTTTTCTTCTTTTAATTTTTGGTTTTTGGGGGTTGAGGTTCTGGTTCGTTGGCCCGGCCCTTGTTTGGCAGGCCCAGGTTCTTACCTTTTGTTTCTTGTTCCCAAAAGGAAAAAAAGGAAAAATAATTAAAATATAAATAAATAAATAAGTTGTAGCTATCAGGTGTTGTCTCAGCAATGAAAATGGAATTAAGAGAGAAGACACATCTCCTCAACTGCTAAAGAACAACAGTATATGAATGGCCTCCCAAGGCCAGAAAACCATTCTATGTAGTCAATATACTTGACACTCCTATTACAACGGTCACGACACTGATACCTGAGACTTGACCCGTCTTGTTCTCTTAGGCAGCATGTTCATCCTGGTGCCCGGCTCTGGGGAAGTTTGGGTATCAGCACTGAGAACCTCGGGTTCCACTTTTTCCTTAAGATCTAAGTTAGGCATTTGTACACCCTAAAAGATCAGAACACAGAAAGAGGACAGACTCACTGACAAGAAATGTGTTTATGCATCAGTGAAGTAATCAATTTCCAGTAAATCCCTAAAGTTACTGAAACCGGGTGGCAATTTTCTCTCAAACTGATCTTAGGCTAAAGGCAGTCCCTATCAAAACCTCAATATCTCATGTTTTACATGTGCAAAGTGAAAGCTGATCCTAGCATTTATGTGGAAACATAAACTGTTTCAAATTTTTGAAAAAGAGTTACAGAGGACTTATACTACTGAACACCAAATTTGACTAGAAAGCTGCAGCGCACAGCAGTATTAATGCTGGACATTTAGAGTGGCTCTACCCTTACAGGGGCTTATACTCGTACGTTTCCAGTGGATGCCTGAAATTACGGCCACTTCCAAATTCTATATATATTTTTCTATACATGTGCACCTAGGATAATGTTTAATTTATAAATCAGGCACAGTAAAAGATTAGCAAAGATAATAAAACAGAAAATTACAACATAATAAAATTTAAGTAAATGTTGTCTGTCCCACTCAAAATACCTTCTCATTTTCATCTTTTCACGTAGAGGAACCACTTTATAGCTTCTCTTTGGCACATCTGAATTGCCAGCAACACTACTCTTGCACTTTGGGCCATTATCAAGTAAAATAAGGGGTACTCGAACATAAGCACTGTGAAACAAGAGTAGATCTAATAATTAAGATGGCTACTAAGTAAGTAAAGGGTACAAAGAAATAATTCACATCCAGCACAGGAGTGTACAAAATTCTACCATCTTAATCAGAATGACTTGAAATTTGGAAGTTATGATATATTTATTGTTCAAATTTTACATTTAATATTTTCAGATTACGGTTAACCAGGGTAACTGAAACCACAGAAAGTAAAACCACAGGTGAGGAGAGGACTATTATAGATTGATGCAACAGTAAACTCACAGATTTATAATCAGGCTGATTTTCAACAAAGGTGACACAATGGGAAAAAGACAGTCTTTTAAAAGAAATGGTGCTAGGCATGGTAGCACACACCTGTAATCCCAGTACTCAGGAGGCTGAGGCTGGAAGATCATGGTGAATTCAAGGCCAGCCTGGGCTCCACACTGAGTTCAAGGCTAACCTGAATTATATAAAGAGACCCTGTCTCAAAACACCAAAAATAATAATAATAAAAATAAATAAATGAAATGGGGCTGGTACAAGTGACTACTCAAATACTTCCCAAATGAATTTGTACCTTTACCCCACTCTATATATGCAAAAACAAATTTCTTTTCATGTAAAATGTATTACAGAAGTAAATGTAAAAGTTAAAGCCCAGTGTGGTAGCACACACCTATAATCCTGAGAGGCTGAGGCAGGAAGATTGCTGGAATTCAGGGCCAGCCTGCACTACACAGTGAGTTCAAGGCCAGCCTGATCTACATAGTAAGACCCTGTCTCAAAACAAAAAAGTTAAAATTACAAAACTTCTAAGAAAAAACAAAGAAGAATCTTTGTGACTCTGTGTTAGGAAAAGATTTTGTTTTTGTTTTGTAAGCCAGACACCAAATCTTACTATATGATTCCCTCTACGTGAAATTTCTCACAAAGTTGTAGTTTTACAACTACAGAGCCAGAAAGCACATGAGTAGATAATGCCTGAGTCTTAGGTAGAACAGAAACAACCCAGAGAATACTAAAGAACTTTTCTGACAGGTAGAAGTTTTCTAAAACTGGATTGTGGTGACTGCTGCATAAATGTACAACTTCATTAAAACTTAACCATGTCCCTACTCTGGATAAGTCTACAGCACAAAAATAACATGTTAAAAACAGAAGAAATAAATAGGAGGAATTTTTCAAACAATCCTTTATCTTGTAAGCCACCAAAAATAGTTATGATTTTTAAACTGTAATGTACACCTTGTTTTCCCACATTTCAGTTCTTGGAGAAATTGACTCCATCTTCGTACACATGAAGAATTACTAACTTGTGGTAAACACAGGTTATAGTTAGAAAACAGGATACTATCAACTCTAAGAACAATGATGTATCTTACCATGAGACTGACACCAGACTGGAAAAGCTCATATGGGTAGAGAATTCTTTCATAGTGGGACTTCAAAAGAGACCCAGTTCCTTTTCCTGGCAGATACCCCAAGCGGCTACCCACTTTAGACCATTTCTTCTCTTTGGTGACCATTTCAAAACCTCCTTTGCTGGCAACAATCTGAAAAGAAGGTATAAGTTATTTAAGGAAAGACTCAGGTTATTATTTTAGGCTAAGATTTCAAATTTTCTTTCAATAAATATGTGACCAAACTGACACTTGTCAACATTTAAAGAAACAGAGAGAATGGTTTTTTGGAAGTCTTAAACTCTAAAATTTAGGGCCAGGGATATAGCTCAGCAGCACAGTGCCTGCCTGGCAAGTGCAAGATCCTGAGTTTGATTCCCAGTACCAAAAAAAAAAAAAAAAAGATAAAGATAAAATTTATAATTAATGCTATACCTGCCTTCAAACAATGTATTCAAAAATATTTTATAAATTTGCACTTTCTACATTATGTACTGCGAGGAAACTAAACATACATATACACTCTATAGCTTCAATGAACTAATAATTTAAAATAATAAAAATAGAAATGAGAATAAATACAAGTTACGATATAAAAGTTTAAAATTAGAAATATACCAAGAAATTTATAGAATTAAACAAAAATGTCAAGCAAACTATGGATGCAGATGACAGTTCTGAAACACCTTAGGATAAGAGGGCTGGACTGTAGTTCAGCAATAATCTAGACCCTGGGTTCAATCCCAGCGTTATAAAAAAGGGGGAAAGAAAGGAAAAAGTTTTACATGGAAGACTATGTAGAACTTAGACTATGCATAACTACGAATATATATATATATATGAATTTTATTCAATTTTTTGTTTTTGTTTGTTTTGAGACAAGATCTTGCTATGTGGTTCAGGCCACCCTTGAACTATGTAACCCAGGCTGGCCTCGAACTCACAGCAATCCTCCCGCCTCAGCCTCCCAAGTGTTGGAATTACAGCTGATTACAGTTGTTTGGCTTTATTTATTTAGTTATTTATTTATTTTGTCTTTTTTGAGACAGGGTCTCGCTATGCAGTTCAGGCTGGCCTCGAGCTCACTTTGTAGGCCAGGCTGGTCTCGAACTCACAATAACCCTCCTGCCTCAGCCTCCCAAGTGCTGGGATTACATGTGTGTGCCACCATGCCAGGTTAGTTGTTCGGCTTTAAAAAGACATTCTAATACATCCTGTAACACAGATGGACCTGTGTAAACATGTAACTGCAATAAGTCAGACAAAACAATGAACACTGTAAAATTATATAATGTTCCTAGAATAAGCAAATTCACAGAAACAAAGTATAATAGATGTCACTAGGGGTGCTCCCTAAGTGGGTACTGGTAATGACTGTACTACAGTTAACAGAGTTAATGCCACTGAACCTTACAGCTGAAAATGGTTAAAACTGCCAGGTGTGGTGGTACATGTCTGCAACCCCAGGACTTGGGAAGCTGAGGGCAGAGGGTCACTATGAGTTTAAGGCCAGCCTGAACTATATAGTGAGACCCTGTTTCAAAAATTCAAAAAAAAAAAGTTAAAATGCAGCTGAGGATGTAGCACAGTAGTAGAACACTTACCTAACAAGTACAAGGCTCTAAGTTCAATCCTCAGCACTTAACAAAACCAATGGTTAAAACCCTAAATTTTGTTGTATATTTTTTATCACAATTTTTTAAAAAATGACTAAGAGACCTGGGCATGGTGGTATACTATGTAATCCTAGCTACTCATCAAGCTTAGGCAAGAGGACCACGAATTCAAGGCCAGCCTAGGTAACTTAGAAACAGCTTGTCTCAAAACAAAAAATAAAATGGGCTGAGGATGTAGCTGAGGGATAAAGCATTTGCCTAGTACACCTAAGGCCCTAGGTTCAATCCTCAGTACCAGGAAAAAAAAAAAAAGAAAAAGAGAAAGACTTGGGCACAGTGTGATAAGCACCTGTAGTTGTAGTACTAGCGCTCAGGAGGATGAGGTAGGAGGATCATTTAGTTCAGATGTCCCAGAGCTGCCTGTGCAATACAGCTAGACACTGCTCTAAATTTTTTTTTTTTCTTTTAGAGGATGAACTCTGGAGCCAGACTATTGCTGTTCAAATCCCAACTCTATCATTTAATATTTGTGTGACTCCGATAAGTTATATAATTTGTGACTTTGTTTCCTTTATTTTTACCATTAAAATAGTAACAACTTTTAAGCCAGGCATGGTGGCGCATACTTGTAATCCCAGCACTTGGGAGGCTGAGGTAGTGAGTTCTAGGCCAGCCTGAACTGCATAGTGAGTTCAAGGCCAGTCTGGACGACAAAGCCAGATCCTGTCTCAACAAATAAACAGGCTGTCCAAAGCAACCGGATGAACCGAAGCACCTTCACTCTACATGTATCTTCTCAGTGTTTTCACGCTGCCAGCTAGTGCTCTAGGTGCTTGGGATACATTCACAGAGACTTTCCCCTCATGGAGCTGATATTCTATTGGAGGAAGGGAGATAACAATAATAAACCCAGTGAATGCATGCATTAGGTGGTAAGTATTGTGACTGTTCGTATCTGAATGTCCCTCCCCACCGAAGCCTCATGTGCTCAGCAGAAAAAGCTTTTCAACAACGACTGGATTACAGGGGCATTATAGCTGACTTGTTGTTAGAAGGTGGGGACAGGCCAGAAGTGGCCAGTCACTGAGGAGGTGACCGGGAAGGGCTATGGCAAGTCTAAGGTGAAATCTGAGGGCTACAGTGTAATTTAATGATAGAACATTTACCTAGCATGGGTGTAATTCAGTGGTAGAACATTTATTTAGCACATGTAAGGCCATGGGTTCCATCCCCAGCACCATCAAATTAACAAACAAATATAACATTTGAGAAAAGACTTTAAAGACGTGAAGAACTCAGCCTAGCAGATAATATCAGGCAACAACCAGAGCCAAGACCCCAGGCTGGAAGCATGCTAGTGGGGAACAATAGAAGTGACAGGCAGTAAGGACATGGGAAGCACGGAGGTTTCTCAGTCTGTACCATCCCAGGGGCAAGGCAAAGGGGATCCCAATAAGCACACTGGTGGAATAAAGTTCCAGATGCACAGCTGACCTTAAAAAACAACCAGTCTAGACTGGAGCAGGATGACTCTCAGAAGAAAATGAAACTGACAGATTATGTGACAGGTAGAGCCACCATGAGAGATTTGTACTTCTACTAGGGAAGTCTGAAAATAAGCTTTTAATGGTTACACTGAAAACTAAACAAATGAAAAAAAAGGGTTGAGATTATTAACTACAAAAAAATAACAACTGGTACACGAAATCACAATCATAGCACTCTATAAGGCTCAGGTACAATAATATTTGTATTTATGTAGTCATAGTAATAAATTTTGATTAATAAAACTTAAACTAGCTGGGTATAGAGGCACACCTACTCGGGAAGGTGTGACAGAAGGATCCTAAATTCAAAGCCAGTCTAGGTAACTTAGGGAGACCTGTCTCAAAACTTTTAAAAAAGGGCTAGAAGCTGGGCCTGGTGGCACAGGCCTGTAATACCTGCATTCTGGGAGGCTGAGGCAGGAGCATTGCAAATTCAAGACCAGTCTGGGCAAATCTGTAGCTCAGGGTAAAGGAAAAAAGGTCCTGAGTTCAATCCCCAATACTGGAAAAAAAAAAAAGACAAAAAAAAATGGGGGAAGTTCAGGGGCTAGAGATGGAGCTGTACCTTGGTAGTACAGCTCTTACATTAGCACATGTAAGTTCTTGGGTTTAATTCCCAGTGGTGCAAGGAAAAATAAATATTTATGTAACTATACTAGCAAGGAATAGGGAATATGAAGTATGAGATTTAAGATCTCTTATACCCATTCCTCACTGCTAACAGAAAATCAGTACATAATATTTAAAACTGAAAAATGAAATATCACGAGCCTATTATTTAGAGAAATAGAGATCAAAATCAGAAGCAGCTAAAAAAAAGTGTATTAAAAGTGATTAGCTATGAGAAGTAGAAATGGGTAGAAAATGAGAATGTTGGTTTTAATTTTAGGCCTTATTTTATAAAAGTGGATGACTCTAACAAAAAAAAAAACTTTTTTTTAAGTACTGGAGATCAAACCCAAGGCATTTGGGAGGCTGAGCCAGGAAGATCACCAAGTTGAGGTCAGCCTGCACTACATAACAAGACTTTGTCTCAAAAAAAAAAAAAAAAAAAAAAAAACCCAGAAAATACAACCTTTAAACACTAGGCTCAGGGGCTGGGGATTTAGCTCAGCGGCACAGTGTCCGCCTGGCAAGCGCAAGGTCATGAGTTCAATTCCCAGTACCAGAGGAAAAATAAATAAATAAATAAACACTAGGCTTCTTTTGCTTTTTTCTTTTGAGACAGGGTCTTGCTATGCAGTTCAGGCTGGCCTTGGGCTCACTTTGCAGTGAGCAGCCTCCCAAGTGCTGGGATTACAGGCATGCACCACCACATCCAGCTACATTCATTTTTAATAGACTTTATCTATTTTCCAAGGACAACAGAAAACAGATTTTTTTTTTTTTGCAGTACCAGGGATCGAACTCACGACTTTGCACTTGCCAGCAGGCACTTATGCCACTGAGCTATATCCCCAGCCCCCGAAAACAGATTTTTAGAGAGAATAACAAAGAAAAAAAAAAAATTAAGACCACATAGCAAGTTCAAAACCAACCTGAACCACATAGCAGAACTCTGTCTCAAAAACAAAACAAGCATACAAAAGACTAGACTACTTGTGGCAAGGAAAAAAACAGACAAGACTAAAACAAATTTAACTTTTTAAATATTTAATGCATTCTTGACGGGCATGGTGGCACACACCTGTAATCTCAGCACTCGGGAGGCTGAGGCAGGAGGATCGTTGCAAGTTCGAGACCAGCCAGGGCTACAAAGTGAGCTCAAGGCCAGCCCAAACTGCATAACGAGACCTTGTCTCAATAAGACAAAAATAAATAAATATAAAAAATATTTTAAAAATAAATAAATATTTAATACGTTCTCTAAATATTTAAACAAGGTATATTTTATTAGGAGTATTCCCCTTTGAACAAGAAGGAATTGGGTTTTACAAGAGGGAGTTGAACAGTATGGATGACAACCGCTAGTAGGAATTGTGAGTGAAAGAGTTCTGATTAGATTATTTCTGAAGTCCCTTCTTTTTTGGGGCGGGCAGGACCAGAGATTAAACCCAGACCTTTGCACTGAACTGTATCTCCAGCCCCTTTTTAATTGTGAATAGGGCTGGGCTTGATCTTGTGATCCTCCTCCCTCAATCTTCCAGAGTGCTGGGACTATAGGTATGCACCATCAGATCCGGTTAAAGGTCCCTTCTTTCTTGTTGGTGTTTTTTTGAGATAGGGTCTTGCTATGTGGTTCAGGCTGGCCTTGAGCTCAGTATGTCAGTCCAGGCTGGCCTTAAACTCTAGGTGATCCTCTAGTCCCAACCTCCCAAGTGCTGGAATTACAAGCATGCACCACCATGCCCAATCCCCTCCTTTATTTTAAAACTCTACAACTTACCAAAACCAAGAACATAATCTAACCAAATTCAGCCTAATGGGTTTTTTTTGTCTGTCTGTTTTGAGACCGACTCTCCCTATGTAGTTCAGAATGGCCTTGAGCTTATTATGTAGCCCAGTCTGGCTTCAAACTCAGTGATCCCCTTGCCTCAGCCTTCCCAAGTGCTAGGATTGCATGTTTGCCTTTTAATTGGAAGAATCACTTATATAAAAGTGCAAGTTTCAGAAATTACTTATACTAAATAGTGCCGGGTGTAGTGGCACACTCCTGTAATCCCAGCACTCAGGAGGCTGAAACAGGAGGATCAACACAAATTTGAGGCTAGCCTGGGCTACAAAGTGAGGTCAAGGCCAGCCTGAACTGCCTAGTAAGACCCTGTCTCAAAAAGGCAAAAAAAATTACTTACACCAAATAATTATTCAAGCAAATTACATAGGATATTTACAAAAGTATATGTAATGACTTTTGACTAAAGATTATCACAGCAGTATTGTTACTAATGATAAAATAATTTTTGAAAATATTTTATATTTTATTCATGCTACATAAATCAAATCAAACACATTTAGAATAGTAAACATCATATAGTAAAACTCAGCAGATAAAGTTTGACTGAACAAAAACATCAAAAAAGAGAATTTTGAGCCAGCTGTGGTGGTGCACACCTGTAATTCCAACACTCTGGAGGCTGAGGCATGAGGATCACTGCAGTTCCAAGGCCAGCCTGGGCTACATAATGAGTTCAATGTCCACATGGACTACATATCAAGACCACGTCTCAAAAAAAAGAGAATTTTTGGGGGTTCCTGTTTGTTGTTTTTGTTGTTTAGAGATAGGGTTTCACTATGTAGTTCAGGCTGGCCTTGAACTCTCAATGGTCCTCCTGCCTCAGCCTCCTGCAGAGTACTGGGATTATAGGCATGCAACACCATGCTCAACTTTGTCCTGTTTTTGAAACAGGGTCTCATTATGTAGGCCAGGTTTCCCTCAAAACTTACCATCTTATCATTTTATTCTCTTTTAAAAAAATAAAATAAAATTTTAAACAAAATATGTAAAATATTTCATTTAAAACAAACTGCCATCAAACTGCATCAGCCTCCCAGTGTTGGGGTTACAGGAATGTGTCACCATACCCAGCTAAGAGAATTCTTAAAACTAATTTTTATCCTAATGGTTCCCTACAAAAAGACACAATCTCCCCCCTCAAGTTTCCTACAAACTGTCCTTTGGTATCACAAGTTTTCATATAATTGCACTAGATTACTCTCTGAACAGGGCTTAATTTTTTTTTTCCGGTCTTTTTGAGACAGGGTCTCGCTATGCAGTTCAGGCTGGCCTTTAGCTCACCTTGTAGCCCAGGCTGGTCTCAAACTCACAACGATCCTCCCGAGTGCTAGGATTACACGTGTGGGCCAGCACACCCACCTAGGACTTAATTATTGATACCACTACCTGACAGATAAAAACAATCTAAAGCACTGGTGGAGAACCTATGGCACACAGTCAGCACCTGAGCCAAGTCACTCCAGCCAAGGCTTGACAAATTATCAGTACGCACACAATAGCAAAGGTCACATTCAATAAAAAGCTGTTCACAGAGCTCTGTTACTGCGTTTTTTTGTAAGACAAAAGATGTTAACATCTGAGCTATTTTTTCCAAACTAAAACCTTGGTGTTCAGGGTTAACTGCAGTATTAGCGCTTTGCAGTAAGTAAGTAGATTCAGGGTACCGTTTGGGCACTTGCTATCTAAAAGTTCACCACCACTGGCCTAAGCTAGAGCAAGGGATGGTGTACCTGTGATCCCAGCACTAAGGAGAATGAGGCAGGAGGGTCACAGCGAGTCTGAGTCCAGTCTGGGCTACGTAGTAAGTTCAAGGGCAGCCTGAACTACATAGCTGGACCCTGTCTCAAAAAACCAAAAACAGCCTAAATCTATATGTTAAGTATGAGACCATACTTCCTAGGATTTTTAGTAAGAGCATTCTAATTTGATGTTAATTTTAAAATATATCAGAAAAATAATTTAAATATGGGGGCAGGCATTGTGACACACATTTGTAATCCCAGCTACTAAGGAGGCTGAGGCAGAAAGATCACGGAAAACCTGGGCAATTTAGCAAGACTTTGTCTCCAAGTAAGTTTTTTTAAAAGAGGTAGGCCAGCCTGGCATGGCGGCGCACGCTTGTAATCCCAGCACTCGGGAGGTTAAGGCAGGAGGATCACACAAGTTCAAGGCCAGGCTGGACTACACAGTGCAACTATCTCAAAAATAAAAAAGGGAAAAAGAAAAAAGTAAATATAAGAATTACATTTTCTTACAAGAAATATTATAAATATTCTTATTAGAAATGTAAGGATATTATAAATTCCTATTCCAAAATGATGTAGCAGTCATAGGCTACAAGGGCCACAAAATAAAAGCATTTACAAAATTTCTCAAATAATAAAGCTGTTTTCACCCACAAGTCAGAACAATCACAGATTTTTATTATTATATTAAAAATATGTATTTTCAGGGCTGGGGATTTAGCTCAGCGGCACAGCGCCTGCCTGGCAAGTTCAAGGTCGTGAGTTTGATTCCTGGTGCTGGCGGGGGGGGACGAAAAATATATATATATATTTTCAGAGAAATTATTATTAGCTCTGTTGCAGGTCAGTTTTGTTCTCATCAGGGAATGCAGCGTTACAATGTTAACATGTATTTAGGCAAAAATGAGTCTAAAGTATTCACCTTTAAGTTTCTGAGCTATTATTTATTCTATTGGATAATACTGGCTTCAGCCATTTACACTACTGTACTTCAATGTTAACTGGTGTCATTAATAAAACTGATATATAGCATATGAGAATGCTGCACCATGAATCCCTTTAATACACCAAGAATTTTCAATTAAGAAGTAGAAAAAAGACGCCAAGCTCAACACAGGATATTATACACTCAGCACATAGCGATATTAGGAGACAGACGTTTCTTCCGCATATTGTGGATCACACAGCAAACTAATCTGAATCATTAAATGTGAATTCATAAATTATAAAATGCCTTTTAAGGGTAACTTTAAGGTCTATCATTTCTACCTCTTCAGGTATGTATTTTATTGTCAAATAAAGTATGTACGGGAAACAATATTTCCTACTAAGTTTATTTCAAATTCTTAATTTCATATATTCACAAACCTCTGCTTAATTTCTTTGGGGGTGCGAGTGTTAAAACAGGAATCCAATCCAGTGTCTCACAGATGCTAAGCTTGCACTTTGCCTTCTGTTCAATTTCTAAACCAAGCATAACCCTCACCTTGCTCAAAGCATAAAGATCCAGGATTTTCCTCTCAACCACTGGGATCTTCAAAGTAGATCCTTGAAGTTCCCAAAATTTTGCCAGTTGATCCAAGAAGTCCAGTCTTACCCTGGTCATTGCCTATTATTAAAATACAGAAATCAGAAATAGGAACTATTATAGTTAAAAATAAGTAAATCAAAAGCCAGGCATGGTGGTGCACACTTGTAACCCCAGCACTCAGGAGGCTGAGGCAGGAGAATTACTGCAAGTTCAAGGCAAGCCTGGGCTACAAAGTGAGCTCAAGGCCAGCCTGAACTGCATAGCAACCTGTCTCAAAAAAAAAAAAAAAAGACAAAAAAATAAATAAATGAATGATGCTGGGGATAAGGCTCAGTGGCACAAGTGCCTGCCTATCAAGTGCAAGGTCCTGAGTTCGATCCCTGGTACAGCAAAAAAATAAATAAATGAATCAATCAATCAATCTAACATAAGTGCTCATTTCTCTAATGAAATTCAAAGAATTCATTATTGCTTTGTCCAACCCTGTAAAAAAGCAAAAGCCAACAGTAAAGAGAAAATAATACTGCTAATATTTTCATCACTAGGGCAAAAAAAAATTACTCTTAACATATATAAAAAATTCTCATTGATGTTAGTAAGAATTGTGTAGTCAGTATTCTATAGCCATGATGAGGAGGCGGCCAAGGAGAGAAAACAGACAGGACTGAGAAAAAGCAGCTGCTTTTGTTGCAGCACTAAGAGAAACAGACCCCAAGTCTGATTTCCGGGGCCCCAAGAAGAACTCGACGACTGCATTCATCTGCTACCACTGTTAAAAGCCAGGCCACCTCAAGAGGAATGGCCCTAAGAGGCCCCATGGGCCATGTCCTGAATGCAAAGGTGACCACTGGAGATCAGTCTGCCCTCTGAAGCGGAGGCCCCAGAGCTCAGACCCATCCTACCAGTTAGTCCAACAGGAATGAGAGGTCCCGGGGCATACTCTGCCTTCTCCCCCTGGCCAGACTGTCATCTCCATGGAGGAGCCCTGGGTAATCATGACTACGGAGGAACAAGAAAACAGCCTGTTGCTAGACACAGGTGCAAGTCTCTCGGTCCTTCTTTTCAATCCTGGCCTTCCTTCCAGCTGTCACACCTCAGTGACAGGAGTCACTGGTGAGGAGGTAATATGCTATTTTGGACAACCCTTTGGCTGTAACTACTTGTTAGAACATTCTTGCGTATCTCTGTCTTCCTCAGAAACCACTTTGAAGATACCACCATGTATTACAGCAGCCACTGATATTTTCCTACTAATCTATCCATAACTCTGTAATGTTTGTATTGTTCCTATCCTATTTCATAAATGGATGCATGTTTATTATTATGTGTTTCCTACAACAACCATTGAGAATAGTTAATGTTTATTCAATAGGTCACTCATGTATAGCTCTATTTATTTTCTTTAGCAGCCACTTTGAAGATACCAAAGTACAGTACAACAACTTTTGATAATCTCCTACCTCTTTTGTCTGTAACTCACTATTATTTGGGGCTGGGGATTTAGCTCAGCGGCAAAGCGCCTGCCTGGCAAGCACAAGGTCGTGAGTTCAGTTCCCGGTACCGGAGAAAAACCAAAAAAAAAAAACAACTCACTTTTATTTGTCTATTTGTTCTCCTGAGAAATGAGCTTGTAGATAACAATATGTAAAACAATAACCATTGATAATTTCCTACCAAAAAATAAAAAATTAAAAAAATTAAAAATAAAAAATTCTCATTAGTATCCAGAGCATTTTTTTGAAAGTGGCTTAACTTATGCAACCATAAAATTTAGTAAACCAGATTTCTCCAAGTCTCCAAGCATTGTAAGTTTGTCAATTGATCTGCATCTAATATTCACATTCTAGGTGCATCAACCCCACCTACACTAATTTTATAATGCTTCATCGACTATCTAATTACAAGATATACAGGGACAGACAAGATAGATATATGATTGAAAGATACATAGATAGATAGACAGACAGACAGACAGATTATACATATAAAAATCTCAGAAAATATTTTAAGAGTATCTGGGAGGGCAAGGAAAAACCCTCAGCAAGATGTAACAGGTCTTAGCTATCAAAAGACTTTTCTACTGCACTCAGAAATGGTTTTAATAACAAACTGAAGAATCTTCTGAAAATCCAGCAGATGGAAAAAAGCAGCAATATTTATAAACAGATTTTACTCTGGAAAATTTAAGAGAAAGTACTGGTGTTTTGCTTCATTTTTTTCCAATAGTAAGGATTAAACCTAGACCCTTCACATTCAGCTACGTTCCCAGCCCTTCTATATATCTTTATTTTGAAACAGGGTCTCACTAAAGTCCCCTGGGCTCAAACCTATGATCCTCCAGCCTCAGCCTCCCAAAGAACTAGGATTATAGATATGAGACACTATAACTATCCTTGGTTTTTGTTTGCTTGTTGCAGAGGAGTTGTTCTGGTTCTGAGAATCAAACTGAGGGCCTTGCATATGCTAAATACAGGTTCCATCACTGATCCACACCTGCAGCCCAGGAGAAATTATAATACTATTGAAAGGGAGATCATCACTGGGGGCGTGGTACAGGCCTGTAACCCCAGCACTCAGGAGACTGAGGCAGGAGGATAACTGTGAGTTCCAGGTCAGCCTGATCTGCACAGGAAAACCCTCTCTCAAGAAAGATGAATGAATGAATGAATAAATAAACAAATAAATGGAGATCAAAATAAATTAACAGTCCTGGAAAAGTTCAGTCAAAACAAAAACAATAAAAACAGTCAGGGATGATGGTGTGATGATCATGCCTATAATCCTAACACTCAGGAGGCTGGGTCGTGAGTTCAAAGCCAGCATGGACTACATATCAAGACTCTCTCTACAACAAACAAACAAAATCTTTGAAAACTAGATTTTGAATTAGAATTGAAACATCTATTTCCCAAAGGCCGTTGGAGACAGTAGAAAGACTAGCAAAAATTAAAAAAAAAAATAGAATAGTAAACATTGAAGAAAATAGAATTTAAGAATTCCAAGTCTCTGAAGTGAAGCACCAAATACTTCCACTATGAAATACACAGCAAGAAACAGTTTCCCAAAATCAATTAAGTTTAAAAAAAAAAAAAAAAAACTACTTTAATCAGTTTTTAAAAAATCAGATACTTCCTCCAAACAAGAAGTAACCACTGCATTCACTCCTAATACAAACTCTGGACCCTGGTACATGAGCTTCTCAAAGTGCTCTACTCAGACCCCTACATACACAATCAGAAAGCAGAGATGGTTATACTTAACACTCACCTCAAGTTCATTCAGGCGCTGGACTCTTGGAGTAAAACGAAAGCTTTTTACTTCACATGCAAATGGTGGCTGCCAATCCTGAACAGAAAGAATTTCTTTTAAACACAGTGGTAGATAGCAAGCAAGGAGTACATAATTTATTCCCTTAATTTTAAGGGTAAACAGCCACAGATCACGGTGACAATAGATCACTTTATACATCTTTTTATTCTTTTTTGGCAGTATGGAGGTTGAATCCAGAGCATTCTACAACTGAGCAACACTCCCAGTCCCTCTCCCTGCTTTTTTGTTTTTGATACCGGGAATCAAATTGACGACCTCATGCTTGCCAGGCAGGTGCTGTGCTGCTGAGCTATATCCCCACCCCTTTTTGCTTACACGGGATTTGAACTTAGGATCCTCCTGCCTCAACTTCCCTGAACACTGGGATTATAGGTATGCAAGAGTAACTCCGGCTGAAATTTTCTTTACTATACACAGGAAGAATAATATTCTGCATATTAAGCCATTTTAATTTTAATATTACTTAGAGACCCAACCTACAAATCTTACCAGCCTATTTACAGCCCACCATTATGCTTTCCCAGATTACTCAAATGCATTTCAGTGAGTTCACATATCATGAAACGGTATTAAAAAAAAAACAAAAAGTATCAGCAACATATAGGTTTACCAAATTAAAAAGAAAAAATTGAAAAAAAATAAAACAGGTAAAATTTAAGATTAAAAAAGATATTTTTAGGGCTGAGGATACAGCTCAGTAGTACAGCACTTTTCTAGCACAAATGGGCCCTAGGTTTGAGTCCCAGCACCACAAAACAAAAATTCTAAGTATTCATAAGGAATCAGGCATAATGATGAAATACTATAATCCTAGATATTAAGAAGGCAGGAGGATCCCAAGTGTGAGGCAAGTCTGGGCAACTCACACCCTACCTCAAAATAAAAATTTTTAAAAAGGGCTGGGATGAAATCAGAGCACTTACACAAGTGAGGCCCTAGATTCAATCCCCAGCACAAAAAAAAAAAAAATGTACAACATACTGAGGAAGGGGGATAGCTTGAGCCCATGAGTTTGAGTCTAACCCGGGCAACAGAACAGACATCCCTTCTCAAAAAATAAGAAGTATGTGTCTTTAATTCCAGCACTCTTGGAGGCTGAGGCAGAGGCACTGGATGTTCAAGCACAGCCTGAGCAACTTAGCAAGACTAATACAACTTTTTATTTTGTCTCAAAATAAAAAGGCTGGGAATGCAACTCAGTAAAAAGGTGCTGAGTTTAATACCCAGTACCACAAAAAAGGAAAAAAAGTATCTACAGTGGTACCTCAGTTCACAAACGATTCTGTTGGTTTGCAAACTGAAGCATTTGGCAAAATTCAGTTTTTGTTTGCAAACTCTGCATCGGGTGACAATCATTTTCCACATGAACATGAACATGGCTTTTCCACAATCATGGAATGAATTAAGTTTGTGAACTGAGGTACCACTGTATTAAGATAATTTTTAAAGTATGTGTAAATATAAGCATTTTAGAGTGTATGTTTCACAAAAGTTTTGTTAAAGCTCTGGGGTTACAGGTGTACATGAAGCTCATTTTTTTTTTCAAACAGGAAGGAAATCCACAGAATAGAGACAATGTCCAAACTGTGATATAACTAAAATGATATCACATTTTTCAAGTTGGGGATCTAGAGAACTAGATTTGTTTTATTTTGTTTTATTTTTGAGACAAGGTTTCACTGAGCAGTTCAGGCTGGCCTCAAACTTTCAGGGATCCTCCTGCCTTAGCCTCCCAAGTAGGGGGATTACAGGCGTGTACCACCATGCCCACCTAGATTTGATTTAAATAGTAAACCCATTTAAAGATAAGAGCAGTAGTCCAAAAAAACTCCCTTAACTTCAAAAGTAAAGAAATTTGCCAATATCCAAATTAAACTCTGCCTGTAAACTAGATCTATTTCAATAACAACTTGACGTCCACATAAAAGGTATATTATTATAGCCTTTTACGTAATGAAAATCACTTTTACCATAAACAATCCATGAATAGAATTTCTACTGACTGCAGTAGCAGTACATGAAAATATGATTTAGAAAAACCTCAATGTTTAAGGTTTGGTCAACATGAGGTAATTCTGATAGAGGAGCTAAATGGAAGCTTTTAAAGGATGGCAAAACAGGGGCTGGGGATTTAGCTCAGTGGCACAGCACCTGCAAGGCAAGTGCAAGGTCATGAGTTCGGTTCCCAATACCGGAAAAAAAACCAAAAAACCAACCAAAAAAAAGGATGACAAAACATATCATTATAGCAATGATTTATTAATCCTTTCCTTGAAAATAACAGTGTATAATCTTAATAAATTCATTGCACAATCTCATTCACTGTTCAGCACAAGGGGAGCAAGACTTCTGTTTTAGAATCAGAAAATTAATCTGGATTCAAAATCCACTTTGCCACTTGTTCAAAACCACACATCTATCAAGTGTTTTAACTTTTCCAGATTTTCCTCACCTGTAAAATGAATATTGTTTACCTACTGGGTCTCAAAGATTAAATGAAACAATTTCTAGGGGCTAAATCAGCTCCTCCTTCTCCTTCCTCCCACCTAAGCTTTTAAATCACTGTAGCACATAGTTCCATGGTATAGCAGTCAGTTGTGAAGGCAGAGGCTTTTTAAAATTCAAACATAAGGGGCCAGGCATTTAGCTCAGTAGCACTGCACCTGTCTGGCATGCATGAGGTTCTGAGTTCAATTTCCGGTACCTAAAAAAATAAATAAATTAAATAGCCGGGTGTGGTGGCACAGGCCTGTAATCCTAGCACTCGGGACGCCGAGGCAGGAGGATCATGGCCACTTTGAGACCACCCTGGGCTACAAAGTGACTCCAAGACCAGCCTGAACTGCAAAAAAAAAAAAAAAAAGATAAAATAAAATACATTTCAAACGTGACACTGCTTTAGTTTTATCTTAACTACTACTAGACAAAACATATAGCAAAATGCCTCTATGAATTCTGTCTATTCGGGCCCACCTGAGCAACTTAGCAACTTAGTAACTTAGCTAAGTCTCAAAACAGAATAAAGGGCTGAGGACTGTAGCTCAGTACAAAAGCCCTGGGTTCAATCCCTACTACTAATGTGAGGAGAAAAATCGTACAAAAAAAGAACTACTATGATAAAGGCTCACAAACCAATTTGCACTAATTATCTATGAGTACTTGCTAGAAACACAAACTCCAAGACGTCCACAACCAGAAATCAGTGTTCTTTTTTTCCTTGCCAGGGATAGAACCCAGGGCCTTGTGTGAACGAGGCAAGTGCTTCATCTCCATACCCTAATTCTAGCCTTAAGCCTGCTTTTTAACAAACATCCAGCTGATGCTGACGCAGGCTGTCCAACATCATTTGGAAAGCACTAGTCTAAACAGGTCAAAAAAAAACCGTTCTGACCTTGGACATATCACTCAAACTCTTGGGGCATCAATTAACCCCATACAAAGAGTAGTACCTGTTCTCCTTAAAGATTGAGGATTATAATTAACCAGCCTATAGGCAAAACCTAGTTATCTGTAATAATTGCAATTCTTTAGTCTTTGCTCCTTAGTTCCTTCTATCAAGGGATTTCAACGTTTTCCTCCACCTTCGTTATTTACCAATTCTTCCTAAATCTCTAAACGTGAAAACTAATTGATTCTCTTTCTCTTCCCCGGGGAAGGTATTCTCACTGCAGTAATTAGCCCGGAGTCTCCTCTAGTGATATGATCCTGGAGGGCTACTGGAGCTCAGATTACCTCTTAAGAAACCCTAACCCTGAAATGTGGCCTGCAAATGTCTGATAGCCTTAGCACTCTGGGACTTGGGTAAAGAAACAGCCGCTGGATCTGCAGTTCCTGCGATCAAGCCATAATGAGAATCATACAGGCGTGTAGGGCAGGGCAGGGCAGGGCAGAACATGTCAAACACCTTCCGGGCCGAGGAGGCCCGAAGCCTTGTTGCCCTCGCCCCCAATCCAAATCAAAGCATCAGCTCTCAAGTTTTAGCGAAGAAAGGCCCCAGAGACACCTCCTTCTCGCGTTAAGACTTGCCAGCGTAAGACTGCAAGAGAACCCAAGGCAAAAATATCCAGAGTCGCGGCCTCCGGTGGTCGAGAAATAAGGGAGCCATTTACGAACGCACAGAAGCAGCATACGGAGCCAAGCGGATCGACTCCCACTCTCCCTTCGCCCTCTTCGAAGCCTCGGGTACCTTAGGCGGTCGGATTTTGCAGATGCCGGTTTTCTCAGCCAGAGGCCGGATGCGGCCGATAAAGCTGAGCGGATCTGTGAACTCCTCCCAGCTAGGCTCAAAGACTGGGCACTCCGGAGGTGGCACGAACTCCGCCGCGTAGCCCCCCGGCCCCACGCCCGCCATGGCAAGAGCCAGGGACCCCCGGGAGGGGCAGATGGAGGAAAGCTGGCTGGAGCCCACCGAGCCCTCTCACATCCCCTCGCAGGGCCCGGAAGGCATCTTCCTGGAGATCTACGCGACACTGCAAGCCAGAATCGCTTCTTCCGGCTGTTTGTTATTGTTTCCTTCGGGGCTTTTCCTCTCCGCGCCGGACTTTCCGGAAGTTAACGTGCTGCCAAGTCCCTCCGCCCGGCAGGAAGAGTCCCTCCGCGAAGCCTCAGTGTATTGCCTGCCCTTCTCGCCTTTGAAGGCGGCCCCCGTCGCTTCTCCTCTGCCGGCTCTCCAAGGTTCTGCGCAGTCCAGCAAACTCCGCAGAGCCCCCCGGGACGCGCCGCGAAGCCACCCCGGCAGACGTGAGAGCGCGGCGGGACGCGCTTCCGGCGCGGAGGAATGCGTCGTGGCGCCGCACGGAGGTTCCGCTTCCGGTGGGGAGACCCGTCCTCTTTGTGCGTTCATGGTCGCCTGAATCACACGGGAGCCCTGCCCGGGCACCCCCGCCCCTGCCTCCCTGCGCTTGTCTGCGACTTGCACATGTCTGCGTTTGAGCAAGTACCAACCTTCCCAGCGTTTAGCTCCCTTTTTTAATCCTTTGATCGCGAGTATTTACGAATACTCTCACTCGGTCAATTTGTACCCGCCTCTTCGTGACAAATTCAAATGGAACCCGTTCCGTGTAGGAATTTCTCTTCATTCTACACGGGAAAAAAAGAAAAAACAAAAAACTCTTGGCCTTGCATTTCTAGTAACTGACACCCAACCCCAAATTTCTTTTCTCGTCTTTTGTTGAGACAGAGTCTCACTACAGTTCAGCGGGCCAAGCTAGCCTCAAGCTCTCCCTAATGCTCCTGCCTCAGTCTTCTGAATTCTGGGATTACAGGCATACGGCACCACCGACAGCTACCCAAATCGTCTTATTTTCACAGCAGCCAGCTCTTGCACAATATGCTGTGCTGTTTCTCATTTTGCTATGGCAACTGTTCTGAACCTGCTTGTCAGAAAACCTTTATGCCAGTGTCTTTCACTTCCTCTGAATTGTAGATAATAACGTAGACATGACTAAAGAAGAAACCATGAAAGTATAGTTCTTCGCATTTTTATAATCTCATTTTATTTTTTAAGAGAAGTTTCAAAACAGATTAGTAAGACAGTTACAATAATTAATACATTATGTAGTTAATCAAGGTATAAGATATAGGCATGATATCTTGTTCAAACAACATTAGCACTAACCTTTATTTTCAATGAGCTAAGAGAAACTAGCTGTACAACTATCAGTATGGTTTTGGTGTGGAAAAAAAAAAACAGGCCTGAAAATCAGTGGAACATAAAAAAACATGCAGATGCAACACACTCAGCCATGTTATCTTTGACAAAGGGCCCATACATGTTCAGTATATGAAAGACAGCCTGTTTATAAAGGGTGCTGGAAAAACTGGCTTTCCACATGCTAAAGACTAAAACTAGACCCATGTCACCATGCACTAAAGTCAAAATGGATCAAAGATCTAAGTATTAAAGTAGAAAAACTAAATTTACTGGAAGAGAAAATAGGTAGAAATCTCAAAGACATAGGTATAGGCAGAGACTTCATAAACAAAATCCAGACTGCAAAGGAACTATTACCAAGAATCAACAAATGGGATCTCAACCGTATTAAAAAGCTTTTGCACAACAAAGAAATCACCAACAGAGAGGAAAGACTACCCTCGTTACATTGTTTGAAAATTCTGTTAACCTTTCAAGCTGGATTCTCATATAACTCTTTTCACATTCATTCTCTGGGTGACTTTTTTTTTTTTCTCGGATACTGGGAATCAAACTCACGACCTTGCGCTTGCCGGGCAGGCGCTGTGCCGCTGAGCTAAATCCCCAGTTCCCCATTCCCTTATAAGATGTTATCTTGATTGAAATCCATGGAGAAAATACAGCATCACACTGATCTGTAGTTGGAAGAGGGAAGCAGCTGGGTGTAGTGGCACACGTCTGCAGCTCCAGCACTCAGGACGCTGAGGTAAGGGAATAGCATGTTTGAGGCCATTGTGGGCTACTGAGAAAGTGCAAAGCCAGCTCCAAAAAGGAGCTTTTTTTTTTTTTTTTTTTTGGTGTTTTTGAGACAGGGTCTCGCTGTGCAGTTCAGGCTGGTCTTTAACTCACCTTGTAGCCCAGGTTAGCCTTGAACTCACAAAGATCCTCTTGCCTCAGCTTCCCAAGTGCAGGGATTACAGGCATGCACCACCACACCCACCTATAAAGAGCATTTTAAGGCCTTTTCGTAAAGGCCATTTGTGTATCTTCTTGCCCATGGTTTTCACTGACTTGTTTGTTCTCTTATTGAGTTGTAAGTGTTCTTTGCATATTTTGTTTTTTGTGTGTGTTTGTTTGTTTTGTTTTTCTTCCGGTAGCAGGACTCAAACTTACAACCTTGCACTTGCCAGGTAGGCGCTGTGCCGCTGAGCTAAATCCCCAGCCCCCTTTACATATTTTGGAAAGCAGTTTTTTGTCAAATGTATGTACTGCAAATATTTTTTTCCAGTGGGGAGCTACTCTTTCATTTTATTAACATTGTCTTTATTTTATTTTATTTTTTGTTTGTTTCCGGTACCGGGAATCGAACTCATGACCTTGCACTTGCCAGGCAGGTGCTGTACCACTGAGCTAAATCCCCAGCCCCTAACATTGTCTTTAAAGAGCAGAGGTTTTATGAAAAAAAAAAAAAAAAAAAAGCCGAGGTTTTTTAATTATAATGAAAAACTTAAACATCTTTTATGGTTCGTGTGTGTGTGTGTGTGTCTTCTATCAAAAATACTTTAAAACTTGTTTGGTGGTGCATGCCTGTAACACCAGCACTTCGGAAGCTGAGGCAGGAGGATACCAAGTTTGAACCCAGCCTGGGCATTGTAGTGACTAATGAGGTCTTTATCTCAAACAAACAAAAACAAAACTAAAGATATAGAGCAATGTGAATGCTCTGGGCTCACTCTCCTATCCCAGAAAAAAAAGCATTAGTCATATCAGACAGTTGGGAAGTGCCCTATCACATGTCTCAGCACCAGTGCCCCCTTGTTTTTTTGAGACAGGGTTTCCTTTAAGTTTTTCAGGCTGGTTTTGAACTCACCATCCTCCCTCTTTAGCCTTCCAAGTAATCCCAGTTACTTGTGCCACTGTGTCTCGCTAAAATGGCATCACTATAAAAAATTCAATAATAAAATAAAATAAAACAAAATAAATACAAGATAGTTAAGATATTTGTACTACTTTTTCTTAGTTCATTGGAAAGAAAGGTTTGTGCTAATATTGTTTGCACAATTAAATGCTGATACCTTGCACTCTGAGTAACTAATTTAAAGATAACAGTATGCAATGTATTAACCATTGTTACCCTCCTATTATCTTGTTTTCAAATTGCGTGCGTGTTTTTTTCTCTTTAAAATTTAAAAGACTGCCAGGCATGGGGGCACATGCTTATAATCCCAGCACTTGGGAGGCTGAGGCAGGAGGATCATCGTGAGTTCGAGACCAGCCTGGTCTACAAAGTGAGCTCAAGGCCAGCCTGAACTGCATAGCAAGACCCGCCTCAAAAAGACTAAAATAAAATAAAACAAAATGCGGCAAAGTGAGTTCAAGGCCAGCCTGAACTACACAGCAAGACCTTGTCTCAAACAACAACAACCAAACAAAAACAAAACCAAATTTGAGGCCATCTGGGTGTCTTAGTTACTTATCTCATTGTTAGGACAAAACACCTGACACCCAAAGTTAAAGGGGAAAGGTTTATTTAGCTCACAGTTTGTAGAGGTTTCAGTTCATAATCAGCTGGCTCCAAAGCAGGATGGTGTAGCAGAGGGGCAACAGTTTATAGCTGCAGAAGACAGCAAAAGCAAGAAAAAAGGAGCAGAGCAAACCTCCTCTTCTCCCTTATATGCAGGTTACCAGTCATAGGGCAGGTGTAGCGCTCATATCTCCAAGTGCAGCCTTAGACAATGAACCAATCACAAGCTGTAGATTCAGCTGCCTCTAAAAAAGCCCCCCCCCCCACCGCCGCCATGACTGCATGAGGCTTTGGGAGGATGACCAGACACAAACCATAGCATTGGGCAATTTAATAAAACCCTATCTCAAAATTAGGAGGAAAAAAAAAGAGTAGAGGGTTCGACTGGGGATGTAACTCTGGGAATGGAGTGCTTGGCTACCATGCATGAGGCCCTGGTTCAAAACCCCAGTACGATTTAAAACACGAGGAGGAGGAAAAAGAAGAAGAAGAGAAAGGAAGGAGGAGGAAGAGGAGAACAGAACAAGACAGCAGCAGCTGGAGCCTGCTGTACCAGACCAACTGAAAGGTAATGAGACACATAATAAAAAAAATAGGAGGGTGTATTTGCGAACGAGTGTGCAGTTGGGCTCCCCATAACTTGATTTTAAAAATGTAGGGGCCAAAACAAAGGGAAACAGAGAAAGATATTGTGAGAAGATGCCTGAGAGGATCCTGATATAACTGAGAAAAAGCATGTTTGGGAGAAGATGGTAAATTCCATTTAAGTGCCTTTAGACTTAGTATCAGTGAAGGTTCCTAGTTTTTCCACAGCAGAAGCTACCATTCTGAGACTCAAGTGCCTCTTTCCTTACCTCTACTGGCTCTTATTTATTTATTTATTTATTTATTTATTTATTTGGAAACAGGGTCTAGCTATGCAGTTCAGGCTGACCTTGAGCTCACTTTGTGGCCCAGGCTGGCCTCGAACTCACAACAGTCCTCCTGCCTCAGCCTCCAGGGTGCTGGGATTACAGGCGTGCACCACCATGCCCGGCCTCTACTGGCTCTTCTGAAAAGACGAGTTTTGAACTTACATGATTTAAGGTAGGTTGTCACACCTCTTGGGAAAAGGAGGCAGTGTCCTCTGACCAGAAAAATTGAACTCTACATCCTGTTCTGGCTTTAGGTCACCAGGATAGGTGGAAGGAGAAACTGTTCCGGAATCTTCAACTTCTAGAGCCACGCTAGTTTATTTGAAATTGAAACTTTGTAAAAATTGAGCCAAGTTTGTAGCTTACACTATTCAGTATGTATTAAGATACTCTGTAGGTCCCTAGTGATCAGTTCCACAATTAGGGAACGGGCTTTCTACATTTTTCATAAATGAAACGTAGTTAAATAAATTTAACCCTGGAGTCCCCAGAATTTGTGCTGGGTAGAAAGACCAGGGTGGCCCGATGGCGGCCTCCGCAAACAGCTACGTGCAAAACAAAAACTACATTTCCCGACGACCTCTGTGCGGCGAGGCCCAAGGCGCCATGGGAGAGACGTCTACATAAACAGCCTTCCTATTGGTGTTTCTTCGAAAGGGCTGTGTAAACTCGCGGGCGATTGGACAGATTTGTGGATGTTCGGTGGCGCCGCAGCGCTCGCTAGTTTGACTTGTTTTTTCAGTTGAGTTCTCCGACTCGGAGGCGTAGTGTGTCGTGAGTATAGACTTTCAGGTTTAAAGGAAAAAGGTTTTGGAGGAGAGATTCTGGGAAGAAAAGCGAGGGAGGGAGAAGTAACCGTGGAAGCAGTGTGGGCGGGAGGAACAGGATGCTCTAAACGGGGCGTGCTTTGATGGGTTGGGGACCGGAAGAGGATAGTTTCTGCAGGGCTTGGGGGGGGGGGGTGCGAGGGAATCGGGGAGCGGTGGCAATGAGAGAGTCAAGAACGAAGTGAAGTAGGAAAAAATAGCACAGGATATGGACCCCCTGAGGTGGGTTCCGTATTTCCTCTCCTCACGTTTATCCGCGCTTCGATAAAACTACTTCACCGAGCCGGGCGTGGTGGCGCATGCTTGTAATCCCAGCATTCGGGAAGCTGAGGCAGGAGGATCGTTGTGAGTTCGAGACTAGCCTGGGCTACAAAGTGAGCTGAAGGCCAGCCTGAACTGCATAGTGAAACTCTGTTTCAAAAAAACAAAAACCAAAAAACATAGCCAGGCGGGGTGGCGCACGCCTGTAATCCCAGCACTCGGGAGGCAGAGGCAGGAGGATCGTTGCGAGTTGGAGACCAGCCTGGGCTAGAAAGTGAGCTCAAGGCCAGCCTGAACTGCATAGCGAGACCCTGTCTCAAAAAAAAAAAAAAATTATATCGAGTTGTTGGGGGTAAATTTTGGTCTGGGACAGAGTGCTTGCCTGGCAAGCGAGAGAGCCTGGGTTCAATCCCCAGTACTGAAAAACAAACAAAAACCCTGATTGGGAAAAATGATAGCAACACTGATTTTTTTTTAAGCAACAGAGAACTTTAATATATTTAACTATTTTACAGAATTGCAAATGGAGTTCGTTTGCAGTCAGATAATTTTGAATGGAGACATTCAGAAAAGAGATGAAGACGATATTATTATTAATAATTTATTGGGTTTTTTTGAGATAAGATCTCACTGTGTAGCCCAGGCTGGCCTCAAACTCGCAAGGATCCTTCTGCCTCAGTTTCCCAAGTGCTAGGATTAAAGGCGTGCACCACCACGTCTGGTTTAGGAGATATTATTGAAGATTAATTTCCCTATACAGACTAGGTTTCATGAAGTGCAGTTATGGTGGTTGTAGAGGGAGCTGTTTCAGGAGCTAGGAAGCTATGCAGGAGGCAAGTTTTCTGGAAACTGGTTTAGGGGAGCAGAGAGGGACATAAGGCATGAGAGGTAGGTTTGGGCCTTATGTAGAATGCCATGAATTCTAGGCTGAGGAAATTGATTCAATACTGATGGCGAGCCTTTTAAACAGGAGTGCCCAAACTGAAGTCCACTTATTTATTGCAAGGGGCCAACACTGCAATTAAATCTGAATACTGAGGTTTTCCTTTTTCCTTTTTAAATACTGAGGTTTTCATTTAGGAAAAAAACACTCATATATTAACATCTTTTGTCTTTTTTTTTGTTTTTGTTTTTGTTTTCCGGTACTGGGGATCAAACTCACAACCTTGTGCTTGCCAGGCAGGCGCTGTGCCGCTGAGCTAAATCCCCAGCCCCCAACATCGTTTGTCTTAAAAATAACCCGTGCCATAGGTTTGCCACCAATGCTAGCCCATAAAGAGCCACTAATGAATTTATAATTTTTAAGAAAATGTTCTAGGGGACATAAGGGATGAAGAGTAGCCTGGTGTGGTGGTACGTGCCTGTAATCCCAGCACTCTGGTAGGCTGAGCAGAAAGATTGCAAATTTGAGCACCAACTCAGCAACTTAGTGATTTAGCAAGACCCTGTCTTAAAATTAAAAAAAAAAAAAAAGGCAGGGGTCTATAGTGTAGCTCAATGTGAAGGCCCTACCTTCAATTTCTAGTCCACAGGGAAGGAGGTGGGAAGTTAAACTATGACAGTAGTGCAGGTATGAAGATACTGAGGTTTTGAATTAACATGGTCATTGTGAAGAAAGAATATATAGAATTTTCATAGTCTGTATGGGAGGTTTTAGAGAAGAAATCGCTGAGGGAAGTGATGCCTGCCCAGGTATTTAGGAGACTTGTGGGGAGCCAGTTGAGCCCAAGAGTTCAGGGCCTGTCTAGGCCACATAGTGAGACCTCCCCCATTAAAAAAAGTAGTCAAATTACGAATTTCAATTGCCAAGTCGAGGTTGCTGTCCAAATGGCTGAATTAATAACTAAAACAAGAAAGCCAGATGGGGCATGTTTAGGCAAAAAAAGATCATGTACTATGTTTGGGAAATGTTAGCTTCATTTTGAGGCAGAGTCTTGGTGTTTGGTCCAGGCTGGACTCAAACTTGCAGTTCTTCTGCTTGAGCCTCCTGAATGCTGGGGGCCACTGGCGTTCATTGCCGTGCCTGGCAGAAATGGGGACTTTGAGCTGCTGAAACATTTGTGACTTGAGTGGCTACTTTTTTTTTTCTTAAGTTAGACATTTCAAGCTCCAATGGGGCATAATAGATAGAAATAGCCAGTAATAAGTAGGAAGTCAAGATCAAGAGGTTGAGAGATTATTTATTTATTCATTGTGTAATGATTAGACTTTGCCAAATGAGGTATGTTTTATTTATTTATTTATTTGTTTGTTTTGTTTTGTTTCTTTGGTTTTTTTTCCGTACCAGGAATCGAACTCACGACCTCACGCTTGCCAGGCAGGCGCTGTGCCGCTGAGCTAAATCCCCAGCCACTGAGGTTTTAGATGATAGAGATAATTATAAAAGCAGTAGGAATAATGACGTCTCCTGAGAAATGGATGAAGTAAAAAAGAAAGTTGAAGGCAGAACCTGTTGAACCGAGGAAGTAAAATTTTCAGCGATAATAGTAGCCTCTGTTGAGTGCTTACATGCGTTAAACAGTGTGCCCATCCCTTTTGTTTATTATTTCATTCAATCCTTACCCTAACCTGTGACATATAAGTAACTGAGGTTTAGAGAATATCACTTGCCTGAGGTAAACACTAAGAACAGGCAGAACTTTGACTCAAATCCATGTCTCTTTGGTTTCCAGACCCATACTTTAAACTACAGTATTTTCAGAAGGGGTGATTGACACTGTCAAATGCAACGTACGAGTCAGCGGTGAGTGTTGGATGAAAGAGAATAAGAACTGAGAAGCGCAATAGAGTTTGCTAATTTGGATGTTTGCTCATCAGGAAGAGCAGCTTCACGTGTGCAGTAGCAGACGTCAGATTATTAAGGAATTGTGAAGTGAAATCCAGGCCAAGTGGGGTGGTGTACACTCATCAGCTTCTTGGCAGGTTGAGGCACAAGGATTATAAGTGAGACCAGCCTGTGGAACTCAATGAGACCCATTCTCAAAATAATAAAAAAGGATGGGAACGAGGTTCAGTGCTCCTCAGGGTTAGTTGCTAGTACCATAAGAAAGAGAGAAAGCCAGCAAAGAAAGGTGAGGGTAGAAAGCTTTTTGCACGTGTGCAGTAGCCGTAGGAAGAAGAGGGATGATGACAGTCGCCATGAGGGAGAACAGAGGTTGCAGGTTGCTAGAAGACTCTTCATGTTCTACATTACTCTGTAAATAGTTTGGGAACAGTGAAATTTAGCTTTAAGATGTCACCGTACCAAGGCAATGGAATATTATTCAACATAAAAAAGAACAATGTGCTGCTGATACATGGTACAGCATAGGTCACCCTTGAAAACATTATGCTCATTGAGGAAAACCAGTCAGGAAAGATCTCATACTATTCAGATTCCATTCACTCGAGAGCCTAGGGTAAGGAAATCTGTAGAGACACTGTAGATGAGTGGTTACTTAGGGCAGCATGGTTAGACAACAAGGTCTTGAAGTGATGAAAATGTTCTTAACTTCATTGTGGTTATAGTTGCATAGATCTGTGAATACACTAAAATCAATAAATTGTACATTTTAAATGAATGAATTGGGGCCGGGGATGTAGCTCAGTGGCACAAGCGCCAGCCTAGTAAGTGGAAGGTCCTGAGTTCAATTTCCGGTACCAAAAAAAAAAAAAATGAATGAATGAATTGTATGGTATATATGATAATATTTCCATACAGCTATTTAAAAACAAAAGATGTCACTCATAATTGTACCATACCAATCCAATAACCATTTTTTAAGGTTATTGCTTACGAGAGGCAAATTAACCCAATTTAGAGAATTTTTGTGAAAGGAAGTAACTTGGAAGAATATTTTAGGAGGGAATTAGAAGAGAGATGGTGTGTATATATATTTTTTTTCTTTTTGAGACTGGTTCTCACCATGCAGTTCAGGCTGGTCTTGAGCTCACTTTGTAGCCCAGGCTGGCCTCAAACTCACAGCAGTCCTCCTGCCCCAGCCTCCCGAGTGCTTGGATTACAGGTATGCACCACCACACCTGGTGAGAGATGGTATATTTGAATGGTTGGGAAAAACCTTTTGAAGAAAGCAAATAGAGTGGAAAATGCAGAAGCCAGCTTTTTGAGCTACATTGGGTAGCCTTTCAAATTCATATTGAGGGTTTTTAAAAACATTCAGTAAATATTTATTAAGCATCTACCATAAGCCAAGCACTATTTTACTTACCAGGCATAAGGCGGTGGACACAACAAATAAAATCCCCCCCGCTTGGGGAATTCGTACATCTCACCGTAGGGAGACAGGAGAGAGATGTCAGATGGTGGTGATACGAAGAAGAGTAAAGCAGAGACGGTGGGTGAGAGGATGCTGGCGCATCAGGAAAGATTTCATCATTGAGATGATGATGAGCCTTGAAGGAGGAAAACCACATAGATGGGGAAAGAGCATCATAAGCAGAGGACTAGGAGTGCAGTGCTTTGGAGTCGGGTTTGCCTGGTACGTGTGAAGAGCAGCAGAGGCCGGTGATTTCTGGAACGCTGGGCAGTGCAGTTTGGGCCTTACGGATGAGGCTGGAGGTTGTAGGTCTTTATAGGGCATTTTAAAGACTTTAATTATCTGAGTAAAACAGAAAGTCATTGGAAGCCGGGCATGGTGGTACATGCCTGTAATCCCAGCGCTCGGGAGACTGAGGCCAGAGGATTTGGGGCAGGAGGATCGCTGTGAGTTCAGAGCCAACCTGGGCTACATAAGCAAGTTCAAGATCCTACTCAAAAACAAAAGAAAAAAGTCCTTGGAGGCTTTTCCACATTTTTTATATTTTTATTTTATTTATTTTCTTGATAGTTTCCAATTAGATTTTATTGGTACATTTTAGGTAGATTTAAGGATCACATTCATCCTCATTGGAGGCTTTTGAGCAGAGGAGTTTTGTGTTTTAAAGATTCACTGGAACTTCTGTTTTAAGAACAAACTGTAAGGGCTGGTTCGAGTGGGAGCAGGGAGACCAGTTAAAAAGCTGTTGTATCTGGTCATGGTGGTACAGGCCTATAATCCCAGCTACAAGAGAGCCTGGGAGGCTGAGTCAGGAGGATCACAAGTTTGAGGCAGCCTGAACAACTTAGTGAGACCCTGTTTCAAAATAAAGACAAAGAGGCTGAGGATGTAGCTCAGTGGTAGAGCAATTACCCAGGTTCTCTCTTCAGCCCCGCTACACCCAAAGCTCTTCTACCTGGGTGTGTGGTAGTTGCAGCTACTCAGGAGGGTGAGGGAGGATGGCCTTAAGCCATGAGTTTGAGACCAGCCTGGGCACCATAGTGGGACCTTCTCCAAAGGAAAAAAAAGCTATTTGTAGTCATTGGAGCAAGAGTTAACAGACTGGTGCAGTAATGTTTGAGGGGAAGCGTAATTATCAGATCCTAGGATCCAACCTAAGGCCTGTGCATGCTAGGCAAGTGCTCTACCATGGGACCATATCCTTGGCCTAGATTCTAGATATTTTTATTTATTGTCAGTAGGATTTGGCAGTTGATTAAGTGATACAGTACTAGAACAAAGAAAGGAATAAAGTTTCTCCACAGTTTTGTTTCTTGCCACTAGCAAGTGGCAAGATGGAAATAGTAATCATTGCAGTGTAGGGTTCGGAGAGGAGAGCTGGTTTGCTGAGGGGTGGCGTATGTCAGGAGCTCCATTTTAGACTTGTTACACTGGGCAGACCCATTAGCCGTGTGGGGACCGGGAGTAGGCAGTTGGATGTGTGGCCCTGGAGGAGCGGGCACAGTTACGACTGCAAGCGTGAATTTGAAAACCATTGTATGGTTGGTATTTAAATCCAGGAGATTCATTAGGTCACCAAGGCAGTGAGTATAACGCTGAGGAAGAGCTAGCTGAAAAGTGATGAGCAGTTAAGGAGGAAAGTTAGGAATCAGTAGCATAGAAGTCAAATGAAGGGAGATTTCAGGAGGAGGTAAGGAGAATATAGCGTTCTGCACAGGAAGATGGAAATATCAGTGGTGATTGTCCCTTTGAATGCTTTTCACAAAATTCTGCCAGAGGGCCAAGCATGGTGGGCCATGCCTGGTAATCCTACCACTTGGGAGGCTGAGGCAGGAGCATAGCTGAGAGTTTGAGACCAGCCTGGACTACACAGCAAGGCTACATCTCAAAAAAATGAAAAACAAAACAAAACAAAAACCTGCCCCAAAGGACTGAAGACTATAAGCAGATAAACACCAGGTAGAAGAACACAATATCTCATGTCCTTGTGTCTTGCTCAGAATCACAGTAGACAGACAGAATATAATTGATAAGAAGGCTTTCACCAGAGCCAGTGAAAGACGAGTCCTCCCTGCTCCTTCCTTTAAATCATGTAACACAGGTTGGTGTTTCCTCCCCATGTGGGAAGTGCATCTTCCATCAAAGTAGAGGAGCTCGTGATCTGAATTACTGATTGAGATGGAGATTGTGAACAAACCTTTTTAAAATTTATATATAATTTTTTTCTTTTGTTAAAACAATTCAAGTGAGTTTTTTTGTTGTTGGTTTTGGTTTGCAGAACTAGACTGAAACCAGTTCCTCAGACATGCTAGGCAGGCACTCTCAACTCAGCTATATCCCCAGCCTTTCTAAAATTTTATTTTGAGACAGGGTCTCATGAAGTTGTCTAGGCAATGTCTCATTTATTAGAAAGTTTTGTGTACAGTTTTGGGTACAGTAGCACACCTGTACTCCCAGCCACTAGGAGGCTGAGGCAGGAGGATCATTTGAGCCGGAGAGTTTGAGAAGAGCCTGGGAAATGGTGAAACTATCTCAAAAAAAAAAAAAAAAAAAAAAAAAACCTTTTCTGAATCTCCCTCTGTAATTCAGTGTAAGGACTTGTTTTTACATTATTGCAGGTAGCATTGATACTGAGAAGACTTCTTCCTATGTGTGTTTATCCAAGTATCCAATGCCACTCTCATTGTATTTGAAAATAATAATGAAGAATACTTATGCAGATCTGAAAGGCAGAAAACTTAGGAGTTGAAACAGATTTAAGGAATAGTCTATGTTAAAGCATTGTGGACGACAGGCGAGGGTCAATGGCTAATGCAAAGGGACTTCTTCCTTCAAGCTCTTCAGGCAGTGATTCTGACAGTGAAGCTGGCAAGCGGTTAAAGAGAAAAAAGCAAGTTACTCCGGAACAACCTAGAAAGAAGCGAAAGGCCGGTGAGACTTCAAGAGCTCTGTCGTCTCCTGAGCGCAGCAGCAGCAGCAGCAGCGAGAATACCTTGGTCCCCAGTGGGGCAGCGCGATGTCGCATGCATGGGGCTTCTAGGGAAGGAGATAACTGTTGCTACTCACATGACCTCTCTGACAGTCCCTGCCGTGTAGTATGCAAGTGTTCCCAGCCAGGGGACCGCGTATGTGGGGAGCACTGCAGATACGAGCACAGCAAGCCCCTGAAAGAGGAAGAAGCAGCTGCCACAGATCTACCTGTGCAGCCTTCCCTTGCCGCTGCCTCAAGCCTCTCCTCCGTCGCTGGACCACACGAGGAGATGAATACAGGCAAGGATGCGTCCAGAAACGTGAGCTTCCCAGCCATAGGCCCAGGTTCCAAGGACTGGGTGAACGCCATGGAGTTTGTGCCTGGGCAGCCCTACCGTGGTCGCATCATCCCTGCCCGCACAGAGGCCGCCGTGCAGGGCTCGGTGCCCAAGGCAGAGTCGGAGACCAAGAAGCAGGTCTGCCCCTATGCCGCCATGGGAGAGTGCCGCGACGGGGCGAACTGCGTGTACCTGCACGGCGACGCCTGTGACATGTGTGGTCTGCCTGTCCTGCACCCGACGGATACGGCCCAGAGGTCCCAGCACATAAAATCTTGCATCGAGGCCCACGAGAAGGACATGGAGCTGTCCTTCGCCGTGCAGCGCAGCAAGGACATGATGTGTGACATCTGCATGGAGGTGGTGTACGAGAAGGCCAAACCCAGCGAGCGCCGCTTCGGCATCCTCTCCAACTGCAACCACACCTACTGCCTCAGGTGCATCCGCGAGTGGAGGAGCGCTAAGCAGTTTGACAGCAAGATCATAAAGTCCTGCCCCGAGTGCCGGATCACATCGAACTTCGTCATCCCGAGTGAGTACTGGGTGGAGGAGAAGGAAGAGAAGCAGAAACTCATTCAGAAGTACAAGGAGGCGATGAGCAACAAGGCGTGCAGGTATTTCGATGAAGGCCGCGGGAGCTGCCCGTTCGGAAGAAACTGTTTTTACAAGCACGCGTACCCGGATGAGCTCTGATGGCCGCAGAGCGGGGCCACAGAGACAGGCGGTGCCAGTGTCACGTAGATCCTGGGCGGGGACGCCGAGCTGACTGTGGGCATGAGTGGAGGTGGTTTCACAATGAACTGAAAGACTTATGAGTTGGACCCATGGCGGCTTTGCATGGTGCGCGGGAAGAGCCTGCTGAGCCTCAGACAGTTGCTGTCCCCTCTGCCAGTGGCAGTGCGTGGCTCTCCTAGGCCGGCCTCTCAATTCCAGGGGCTGTTGTGACCACTCACCCGGGGCCGCGCTCTACTCCACTTCCCCAAGAGTGTGTTGTCTCTGTTTCAAAAAGTTACAAAAATAGGTCTTCAAATTAGAAAATAAACAAACAAACAACATACTGTCTTCAGGAGGCAAATATGATCATGTTGGAGAGGGAACCAGTCTGTATCCTATGTTGTTTGTTTTGTTTTGTTTTCTGTTCCTAGAATCTCATTATGAATTTTTGTGTATTTGATAGGTGTGAATAAGACAGCATGAACTTTACCCCGACACGCACCCCTGTCTGCAGAAAGTAAGACATTTGTTTATTTTGAGTCGTTAAAAAATCAAGACTTTTGTAACCGTAGATCAAGTCAGCATAAGAGTTAGAAGAGCTTTGGAAACAACTTCCTGTATCTTGATTTGAACTATATCGTATATCATTTCTCTATTCTTCCTCGGAATTTAATACTGGGATTCATTCAAGCTGGGCATGGTGGCACATGCCTGTAAGTAATCCCAGTACTTGGGAGGCTGAGTCAGGAGGATCGCCACAAGTTCAAGGGCAGCCTGGGTTACATAGTGAGACGATGTCTCAGAACAAAACAAACCAGGTCTGGTGGTGCACACCTATAATCCCAGCACTGAGGAGACTGAGGCAGGAGGGTCATCGTAAATTCAAGGCCAGCCTGAGCTTCATAGAGCCTCTCAAAAAAATAGAAAAAGAGTTAAAAGTCCAAAACAAAAATCCCCAAACCAGGATTTATTCAGTGTGAGAGGATTGGGCACAGGGCCAGTAGATCCTGGGTTACAGAGAACAGCCCATATCTGAACATACGACTTTCATTTCTACTTCTGTCACCAACCTGCTGATGACACCTTACCTTTATTCCCAGTGCCGCAGCTCTCACCTGCAGTGACAGAAGTATTTCCTAGTTTATGTATTAACCTGTTTCCCAGAGTGTTGTAAAAGACAAACCGTTCTGACAATATGAAACATTAGGTAAAATTGTATTTTTTTCTCTAGTCAGATTTTGGTACATTTTAGATGTACGTAATGATCATACTCCTCATAGAGCATTTGTACCTCTACATGACATAACTTGATTCTTTTTTTTCCTTCCCCTCCTGTCCCCGTTTACCAAAGCTTTGTCTCCATTTTTTCCTTCTCTTTTTTCACTTTTCTCTTTCCTTTCCCCCTCCCTTGTTCCCCTCCCTATTTGAACATTTTCTTCCTGTTTCACAAGTAAAATAGTATTTCTGTCATAACCTTTTTGTAACGTTGAAGATTGAATCTAGATCCTTGTGCCTGCTGAGCATACACTTTACCACTAAGACCAAAAAGCTTTCAATAATAGAAAAATGTTGGGTTTTTTTCTTCATCCTGCTTGAATTTCTTTTTTTTTTTTTCCCCCAAAATTGAAAATTGGACCCCGGGCTTTCATGCATATGTAACTACCACTGAGTTACACCTCCAGCATGAGAATAAAAATAAATGTTAATATCTCTATGTGTTTGCTTTACTTAAAAAGGAATGCTTATGTTAACTACGTTCACTGGTTGTAGCTGTGGGCTTCTGGTATAAAAATTTTCCATCCTGGTGTCTGGTTTGTTACGTTGTAAATTGCAGACAGCCAAACTGGATTGATTTTCACCTGTTTCTCTCCTTCTGTACCATTTCTAAACTTCACTGTGTTAGTGTAAGTTTCTTGTGTGCTTTAGCAAACAAAACAAAAGCTTGTCCAGCCTTGGATCAGAACCTTGCCATTTTTGTCATTTAGTCCTACACTGCACAATTCAAATCCCAGATGCTGGAGATTAAGATCTGATGTGGTTGTTTCTTTTACTATATGTTTCATAGTACTAAATGTTCCCTTTGTTACTATGTGGTCTTAGTTTATACCGGTCTTTTAAGTGATCTTAGTCTCTTAACAGGAATTTTGAACCCAGTTTTAAATCTTGACATACTACCTTGTAGCATCAAATTTTCAATATATGTGGGGACCTTTATTATAAACACTTCAAGAAGATAAACCCCTTTGTATTTTTTTTAAAAAGTATAATATTTTATAAATGTTCAGAGAATCCATCCTGTCTAATTTTCAATAGACTAATAATTACCTCAAAACACGGTGTTGCCTCTAGCGTTAGTGGTCCCACCAGGTGGAAAGAAATGGCAGATTTGATGGAGTCAACTCCCTTGCCTTCGGTCAAAGATCGGCTGGCTGTCCTCCACCCTTCCCAGGAGCTTCTGGAATATTATCAGAAGAAGATGGCTGAGTGTGAGGCAGAAAATGAAGATCTCTTGAAGAAGCTGGAACTCTACAGAGAAGCTTGTGAAGTACAGGTAAAAAAGACTGGCTAGGTGTAGTGGTGCATACCTGCAGTCCTACCTACTCAAAGCTGAGGCAGGAGGATTCCTTGATCCCACAAGTTCAAGACCTGTGCAACACGGTAATACTATCTAAAAGGAAAAAAAGCAACTATCACATTTTTTGAAAAGGCAGAGATAATGCATGGCTTTTGAGGACTCCTAAGTCTTATTTGTTAGAGAAACTCTTAAAGTACCAGTGTGTCTCACAAGCAGATATTTTATAGATGCATTTTTTATTCCTCAGCCCAGACAGCTACTTTTCATGCCCCTCCTTAAATCATAGCTTCCCAAACGGCTCTACGTCTAAAACATTTTTCCTTTTTTCTGTGACAGAGTCTCATTGTGTAGCCCACCTGGCCGCAAACTCCTGGGTTTAAGTCCTCCTGCCTCAGTCTCCTGACTAACTGGGATCATAAGCACATGCTTCTTCTCCCTCTAAAATCTTAAAGTTAGGCTGGGATATAGCTCAGTGGCAGAATGCCTAGCATATGCAATGCCCTGGGTTCAGTCCCGAGCACCACAAAGTAGTAATAATAATAATACCATCAAGCTGGGTGTGGTGGCGCAGACCTGTAATCCCAGCAATCTGGAGGCTGAGGCAGGAGGATTGTTTTGAGTTTGAGACCAGTCTGAGCTATGAAGTGAGCTCAAGGCCAGGCTGAACTGTGCAGTGAGACCCTGTCTCAAAAAGAAAAAAAATAATATCATCTTAAACTGGAATCTCTCCGTCTCTGTTCTTCCATTCCCATGCACTGTACTGTTACCTGCATAGCTTCCTGACTCCAGATTTCTCAGTGTACGTATCAGTTTCTGAGATTGTGTCCTTCCTTGCTAAACTAAATCCCGTCATGCTTTACTTCGGTAATAACTGTATTACCTGCCACAACCAGTTAGGTTCTGCCCTGCCTGCAGCGCAGAAAACCTAACTGCAGCAGAATCCAGTTCTCTACCACCTGCTCCCCTGCAGCAGCAGTTCTCAGCTCAGCGTTACCAGCATGGGCCTGGGTAATTCTGTGCTGCTGGGGGTGCTGTGTGTGATGGCATGTTCAGTGGCTCTTCTGGTTTCTATCCACCAACCTTCCTCATTGTGGCAGTCAGGACTGTCTCCAGTCATTGAGAAATGTCTCTAGGGCGGGGTGGGGAGCAGTGGAGGTGTGGATTTCACACACTTGAGGACCACTGTTCTAGAAAGGCCACAGGTCACGCCAGAGTGAGGTCCTCAGTCACTGCCCAGCAGCTCCTCGTGTGTGCGTGGCCAGCGCGCTGTCCCACCCTCCTCCCTCCTCCTCTCCGCCTTTGGCTGTGCCTCGTGTCTGTGCCTCCCTTCCCAGCTCTCCCCCGGCCTGCACACTCTGCTCAGCCCTCTTCCCCCAACAGGCAGTTTACTTCACATTTCTCAGGAGATGGATCTCAGGTGTTAACTCATTCATTTATTGTGGTACTGGTGGTGGAGCCCAGGGCCTAGGCAGTGAACTACATCCCCAACTTTTTAAAAAACTTTTATTTTGAGACAAGGTCTTATTAAATTGCCCAGCCTGGGCTCAAACCTGCAGTCCTTCCTGCCTTGGTCTCCCACAGTGCTGGGGTTACAGGTGTGCCCAGCTTCCTAGTTTCAAATGTCAAAGTTCCTCCAGAATCTACTGTATGTGATCTCATTTAACACACGTGTTATCGTACTGTGTATGTGACCATAACTTCCAAATAACTAACCCTGACTCACCTTTCTCCTGAGCTCCAAGTTAATATGCCCCTCTCTGTTTTGCATTTGATTTTTTTTTTTTTTTTTTTTTCTGGTACTGGGAATGAAACTTACGACCTTGTGCTTGCCAGGCAGGCACTGTGCCGCTGAGCTATATCCCCGGTCTGTTATTATGCCCCTTTCTGAACTGATCTCCTTCTTTCTGTCCTCCTCTCCTTTGACATATACCCCTATCTTCCCCTCGCTCTGTTTTGTTTTTTGAGATAGGGTCTCTCTCTGTAATTCCAGCCATCCTCAAACTCACTGTGCAGCCCAGGCTGGCCTCTTAACGCTTAGTGATCTTCCTGCCTCAGCCTCCTGAGTGCTGGGCTCACAGCATGCACTACCACGCCTAGCTTCCCCTCCCTGTTTTTTATCCCTTAACTTTTTCTTTATTCTGAGTCTTAGCAAATGGTTTCATTGCTCACAGTTCTGCGCAGCTCCCTGCTTCTAATCATTTGCTAAGTCCTGTAGCTTCTGCTTCCTGAGTATTAATCCATTCCCATGTCTGCTACTGATGCTCATTCAGACCTTCATGTCTTACCCGAGCGATGTGTTACATTTCCTCGCCACTATCCTGGCCTCTTTAGTCTGTGTCATGCTTGTCATGTTAGCACTATTGAAATACTTGTGGTTGTCCAAATATAAGAGGGTTTTTAGCTGGGCGTGGTTTCACACTGCCTGTAGTCCCAGAATGCTGAGAGGCCGAAGCAGGATGAGTGCAAGTGACTTTAGTGAGAGCCTGGCTCAAAAATTAAAAAAGAACTGTGGATGTAGTTCAGTGTGAAGGCCCTGGGTGCAATCCCTAGTATTGCCCAAAAACAAGGCCTCTGGATATCGATCCATGGGGAGATAGACCTTCCGAAAGTGAGAAGGGGAGCTCGAGGGAAAGGAGGGCAGGGGGAGTTCAGAAGAGTGAAAATGTGTTATGTACACGTATCAGCTCTCCACAGTGAGTGAATGTAATCATTGTGTGCAACAAATGCGATAGCAAATATAATTTAAAAAAATGAAATCCAGGCCAGATGTGGTGGCGCATGCCTGTAATCCCAGCACTTGGGAAGCTGAGCCAGGAGGGTCGCTGTGGCTACATAGTTCAAGGTCGGGCTGAACTACACAGTGAGTTCAAGGCCAAGTTGAACTACATAGTAAGACCCTGTCAAAAAAAGTGGATCCCTCTCTAAAAGGCAGTTCAGAAATGGCAAGTTCTTATGTAGGAAGAAAGAGGTGGAAAAGGCGCAGTGAGACTTCTTGCCTCAGTCAGTGTGAACAATGCAGAGAGAGAGAGAAAAGCCTTCCTGTGACACCGAGATAGATTCTCATGAAAGAGTGATGAGTGGTCTAAAGAAAATTTATGAAGACAGAGGTGGTGATATGAGGTGAATCTTTATTTTTTTTTTTTTTTGATTTTATGAAGCAGGGTATCCGTAGACAATTCAGGCTGGCCTTGAACTCACTATGTAGCCCAGGCTGGCCTCGAACTCACAGTGATCTTCCAGCCTCAGCCTCACGAGTGCTGGGATTCCAGGCGTGCACTACCATGCCCAGCTGAGAGTCATTAATAAAACCTAGATTGGACCAAGAAAGAAACAAGCAAAAAGGAGATACAGAATTATTTTTGTATTTTTGCTTGTTTTGAGACACGGTCTCCGTATATAGCCTCAGGGATCCTCCTGCCCTCCTGAGTGCTGTAATTGTAGCCAACTAAGTGCTGGAATTAAGGGACTGCACCGTTATTCCCAGCTGAGACAGAATTTTGACACTGTAAGGGCTGGGGGTGTAAACACTTGCCCAGCATGAACAAGGTCTGTGGTTATATCCCCAGCACTTTAAAAATAAATAAGTAAAATACTATTTAAGAAATTTCTCTGAAAATGGTCTTGTTAGTACCCTGGTCACTGTGTTCAAGAAAGGGTTATACTGCATTAAAAGGGAAATGAAAAAAATTTGCCTAACAAAAAAGTTACCTTGTATGTGTTTTTGTTCATCTTGGAGAAATCAAAAGTAGTTGCCTGCCTTTAAATTACTGACAGCAGGGACTGGGGATTTAGCTCAGCGGCACAGGGCCTGCCTGGCAAGTGTGAGGTTGTGAGTTCAATTCCCGGTACCGGGAAAAAAACAAACTAAATAAATAAATAAATAAATTACTGACAGCAAAAGCTGGGCATGGTAGCTCATGCCTGTAATCCCAGCACTTGGGGAGGCTGAGGCAGGAGGATCGTTTTGAGTTTGAGACCAGCCTGGGCTACAAAGTGAGCTCAAGTCCAGCCTGAACTGGGTAGTAAGACCCGGTCTCAAAAAAGACAAAAAGACCCCCCCCCCCGGCAAGAAAAATTACTGACAGCAGCTCTTACTAATCAGTGTAAAAATAACTAAAACCTGAATTTTTGTATAAAATGCAAATTTGTACCTGTGCCTAAAGTTTGCTGTGTAGAAAGGTTGATTGGTTTTCTGTAAGCACCTTAAGCAGTGCATTTGCCATGGGTTGCCATGAACTAATAATGTAATCACAACCTTTTCTTTCTAGATTTAAATATACTTATGAAAATAAAATTAAAAGATCTAAAATGAACAAGAATAGACAAACATGTTTGTGTAGTACCAAGTGTGAGAGATTGTCATGGCTTACAAAAGCAACAGCTAAAAAGCAAAAATAATGAAATTGAAAACCATCTATTCCTATGTTTAATAGAACCCGTTTTTTATTTTAAAAGAGTCATATTGGAGCTGAGGATCTAGCTCAGTGTTAGAGCATCTGCCTCACCAGTCAATCCCCAGCGTCACAAAAAGAAAATCCCTATTATCTATCATAGGATTATCTCAAAGATTGAAGCCTTACAAACACAAATTCATCTTCCCTTCTCCTGCACTTCTTTCTCTTTTTATTTTTGTATTCAATTATTGATTGCAGTACTGGGGATGGAACCTAGAGCCTTCACTCTCAGCTGCATCCCCATCCCTTTTTAGTTTGTTTTTTGGTTTTTCGAGGCAAGGTCTCACTATGTAGTTCAGGCTGGTTGTTGAACTCACTGTGTAGCCCAGGCTGGCCTCGAACTCACAGTGATTCTCCTGCCTCAGCCTTCTGAGTCCTGGGATCACAGGTGTATGCTGCCGTGCCTGGCACCTTTTTAGCTTTTGAGATGGTCTTCAGAGGGAGTCAAACTTGGAATCCTTGTGCCTCAGCCTTCCAAGTGGTGGGATTACAGGTGTGTGCCACCACTCCGGCTACTTTTTTTCTTTGTGAAAACTTTTTTTTTTGGTCTTTTGGAGACAGGGTCTTGCTGTGCAGTTCAGGTTGGCCTTGAGCTCACTTTGTAGCCCAGGCAGGTCTTCAACTTGCAACAATCCTCCTGCCTCAGCCTCCCAAGTGCAGGGATTACAGGTGTGCGCCACCACGCCGCCCAGTTTGTGAAAACTTTTTAACTATTTAAATCATTTTTTTAAGTGCAGTTCAGTAGCCTTAAATTTTCATGTCATTGTACAACAATCTCCAGAGCTTCTTCTCTTACAAACTAGAACTCTGTCCCATTAAACAAGTCCTCATTTTCCTCCTGTCCTATCACAAGCCTTTTATTGCTTTCTATTCCTGCCCCACATTCTGATGCTCCTCCAGTAGATAATTTTTCCAATTGCTTGTATGTCTCCCCCTGGAATGCCACAGCTCTTTTATCGGGAACCATATCTTTCCGTCTCTGTTTTCCTGAATGTCATAGTAATGCTTATTGATAGAAAGCATTACTAGAAGGTGTAGATAAAATGGGAACATATGCATTCTAGGTGTTATCGTCTATATAGGAATGATAGAGTTTGGACACATGTAAGTGTCAGACTTATTTTGAAGCTTTCCTCTAATTTATTTTTTATCTTTTTGAGACAGGGTCCTGTTATATAGTTCAGACTGGCCTAGAGCTCACTTTGTAGCCAGGCTGGTCTCTAATTCACAATGATCCTCCTGCCTTAGCCCCCTGACTGCTGGGATTATAGGTGTGCGCTGCTATGCCCAGCTCCTTTAATGTTTTTGATGCTAAGGTGGAATCTAGGGGCTCATGCATCCTGAGTGTCTCTGCTACCACTGGGCTGTGCCCCCAGCTCATCTTATACCTTTTATTTCATTTGTTTACTTATTGTAGTACTAATGATTGAGCTCAGGGCCTTCACAATAAGCTATGTCCTCAGACTGTGTTTTTGTTTTTTTGTTTTGTTTGTTTTGTTTTTTGAGACAGGGTCTCATTAAGTTGCTGGGCCTGGTTTACACTTGTGATCCACCTGCCTCAGCCTCAGAGTGCTAGGATTATAGGCATTCATTACTACCAGGGGCTCACCCTGAACCTTTTTTTTTTTTTTTTTTTTTAACCCTGAACCTTTTAAACTTAACCTCTGTGTACAGTTTGTTGCTGTCACTTGAGTTTGGTGGAACTACCACTTGGGAATATTTCCACGTGAACTGGTTCTTGCATATGAAATACAAATCACACAAGAGGTCCTCACCGAAACGCAGTATCTTTTCAGCTGCTTTCTTTCCCCCCAGCATAAACTTGAATGGGATTTGCAGCAGAGAGAGGAAGAGATTGCTGAATTGCAGAAAGCGCTAAGTGATATGCAGGTCTGCCTTTTCCAAGAACGGGAACACGTTTTACGTCTCTACGCAGAAAATGACCGTCTGAGAATCAGGTATCGAGTAGGCGAAGGGAAATGTTGGAGTTACAACTCTGAATTGCATCGAAAGTGATAAATGTACATCCAGTTGTTCCTCAGAGGTTGTGTTCCCCCCCGAAACAGCCTCTGAGAGGAAGATTGCCTTCAGGACCGTTACAGGGGAGGCTCTCAGGAGCAACACCGGGAGAAGGGTTTTGGGGCGTAGAGCCCCTATGGGAGAGTTTGAACTGTGGTACAGTGGTAAGAGAGGCTGTGGCCAGCTCCACGGGGAGCCCTAAGGTTAGAGTGGCCTTAAAGAGGCAGCGAGTTCAGACTTTTGTTTCCCCACGTTGTCATTGGATACAGAATACTTTCGGAAAGGGTGTAAGCAGTAAGCTGCCTTCAGCCACGTGCAATTCTTGGAACTACAGCCCCGGCCTCTCCTTTTAATTCTGAGCCCCAAGGAAAGCTTGCTTCTTGTGTCATTTTGTATCTGGGTCAAAACAACGCTTCCAAGTGTGGAGCATGTTTCAGGCATTACGCTTTCTTCTTGCTGGCAGTAGGTACAAGACGTAATAATTTATCTCACTGTGGAGGGAACGTCCTGGCATGCCTGGATTGAAGCCCTGGAAATTTCACTCACATGCTTTGTATGGTTTATCATCAACCCTTGGAGCCCACATATTTTAGCAAAAGTTCCCGTGCACTTGCTGTTTCGTGTTCACACGATCTAACTTAGTATGATATCAATAGTGAATTCACCTGACCTTGTGAATGAGCGGATCAAGGTGCTTTTATGCTATATTGACAGAGCAGAAGAGTTAACGTGACCTTAGGAAAGATTATGAAAGTACCACCACCACCACCCCCCGCCCACTTCACCAGAAAGGGAACTGGGTTTGGCCTGTGGAAAGATGGAAAAGAGTACATTTGCCAGCTGGGCATGGTGATGCACGCCTGTAATCCCAGCACTTGGGAGGCTGAGGCAGGAGGATTGCCATGAGTTTGAGGCCAGCCTGGGCTACAAAGTGAGACCCTGTCTCAATAAGCAAAACAAAACAAAACAAAAAAATCATTTGCCAAATCAGTGGCCACATTCCTTATACCTGAGACCAATTCAATCTGCTCTAGAAAGATACTACTTCTGGCACAGGGGAATTTACTTGACTGAAGTCCACTGTTAGCCTCCAGAATCCATGTGCTTTGGTCCAAGTCATACAAGTCATGCTGGTGAATGAGATGAGGGTTTTGTAAGGATCTAGCCCCCTACATCTTTTAGGTCTTTGTTTACCGTCTTGACTGGGTAGGGATGATTACTTTCAGAAGCTTCTGCTTGACTTACCTCATAACCCAAGAAACTAATGCAGAGTTCCTCCAACTGCTGACTCTGTGTATTCTAGCTGGGAAAGTGATCAGTGGCTGGGTCTGTGGATCCAGTAGATGCGCTGTGAGCTGGATCTGGGCCAAAATTCCATTTATTACGTGCTCCCCATGTGCCGTGTCATAACGCTGCTTCAGGTTGCCAGGTGTCAGGGTCCCCGTAGACCTTAGACACCTTAGACCCTCTATGCAGCAACCCTTGAGACACCTGGGAATTCCTTTTCCCTGTGTAATTGCTCATGTGGGTGGCTGTGGGCCCTGTGATGAGAAACCGGGGGAACTGTTGCCAGGGGCACTCGCCGCTGGTCTTACAGGGTCTTGCCTCCAGAGAGACCCAACCTCTTCTTCAGCTAACATATGGAAAACCAGCCAGAGAGTGATTT